TTTATTCCATTAAAGTATGGAGGTTTATTCCATTGTCTGTGATATGGCCGTAGTCTACAGTGCGTTTTGAAGTTCATGAATGCAATCGTCATAGTTTAATTTTTTTAATGTCTATTTGTTCATGAGAAACAACAGGTGAAATGGGAGTTTGTGGACAGTTGGGCACGGTTTAAGGTGTTAAATATGGCTTTAGAAAGTCACCAAACGGCTTTGAAAATTCCAAATTTTCCTGGGGGAGGACGCCCGGACCCCCCTGCCTAATTGGTGGGTGCTCCACACCCCCCAATCCCCCCGGTAGCCCCCCCCTTAACAAGGTCCTAGAACCGCCACTGAATGTGACAAACAATTCCAGGTCTGTGTCCAACAGAGTAGAGGGGGTTTTTTAGTGAGTAGTCTGTGATAGTTTCAGGAGTCTCACACTACAGGCTGGCTACCTGTGTGCGTAAAAGCATTTTCCCTCCTCTCCCTAAAAAAAAAGAATCCATCTTGAGGTATGGTGTGATTTTGTGGGGACAGGCAACTGATGCCAAAACTATTTTCAGACTTCAGAAAAGAATCATACGGATTATGACTAATTCCCACCCCTACATTTTCAACATTTAAAAATTCAAACACTCACAGGACTATACATATTTGAATTATTAAACTACATACACAATATAAAAAATAACCTCCCGGATTCATTCAAATTCACACACAACTATAGTACAAGAAACGAAACAATCTTCAGATTACCAAATCACCGTTTGACCTTATTTGAAAAAAGTCCTTTGTATGCAGGTTTAAAAATGTATAATAAACTACCGGTATATTATAAAATAATGAGTTCAAACAAGTTCCAAGAAACATTGAAAAATGGACTTCTTGAACATGTGTTTTATAAAATAGAAGAATTTTATAACCATCCCTTGAGTTAATTTTTGTTTTTAATTTCCTTAACTACCGTACGGTATTAACATTATTTGGCTAGGTATTTTTTTCCTGTTACTTTGTACCTTGTATTGTTCTAGTCTAGGCTCAATTTTGACAATGCACCTGTTCTATATGTTATCACATCTAAAAGAATGTTATGTGCAAATAAATAATGTATAATGTCTAATGCTATGCTATGTAAAGCCGATAAGGGCAACACCATTGTTATTTTGTACAAAACTGATTATGTAAACAAAGTAAATGACTTTATCAAGAAGAACAATGTCGTTGTTTTAGATAAAGATCCAACTGACTTATACCAACGCAAAATAAAAAGCCTTATTAATAATAGCAAATCCTTACTATACTTAGATTAAATTAAGCGCCTTAAAGTAATGAACCCACATGCCCCTACGTTAAAAGGATTACCTAAGTTACTTAAAGAAAGTGTCCCAATAAGACCGCTGGTTAACTACACATAAGCACCCACTTTCAAAGTAGCTAAACATCTGGAAACTCTTTTAAAGTCCCTGGTTAACCTTGAGAATAGTTATAGCCTCAAAGACTCATTTTGATAAAAATTATATTATGATAAAAATTAAAAAAAAAATATTTTTGAAAATTTGCAAATGCTTATTGTTTAAAGTTTTTAAATAGCAACATATGTCAAGTGGCACATCATTTTATAGGTTTTTTAATCCATAACAACTTTGTAACTTACACCATAGATAACTCATACTCTTACACTTACTTCGTATCTCTTTTAGTTTTTGCGTAAATAACAAAAACTAAAAGAGATACAAGGCAAGTGTAAATTACAAATTTGTTAGGAATTTAAAAACCTATAAAATGATGTGCCACTTGACATATGTCGCTATTTAAATAAACAAGCAAACTAGAACAGTTTATGTACTCTCCGTAATAATAACATGGGAATTTTTAATTAAAATTTTTTTGAATTTTCTCGGTAACTGTTATGCTCATAATATATAATCCTATTAGGCTATAGGCCTAATTATTATACCGTCGGCGAGTTGCTGTTATGTACTTGGCGTAGGTGCATTTCTGGAGCCGGTTATAGGCATGGAACTTGGATAAAACCCCCTTTTTGCAATTCATAAAACTATGGTAACTAATTTATCATAATTAAAAAATATTTAACTCGGTATAATTTAACAATGTAACACATTTAATTTTGAACGTATTTCTAAACTGTTTAAAAACCATGTTGTGAATGTTTGAAAGAATAGTTGAGCGTACGTATTTGAGAACTATCGAGAACTAACGAAGAACTAACGATTGGTATATAGATATAGGCATTTATAATCAGAAAACAGTGTCCACTGGAAATTCTATACTTGTGAAGTTAGAGTACCCACTTTGTATTCATTATAACCTTTTTGTTTTTAGAGGTCTTTAAGAACTATCGAGAACTAACGAAGAACTAACGATTGGTAAATGAGTGAAAATTTAAAAACGTACGTTTTCATGTCCCTGGCCTTTTCCTTTGTAGATACTGGATATGTAGTTTATTATTATGTGTTTTAATATTTTTTGGGACGGGGGCAACATGTTACACACATTTATTTGGTTTTAAATAGGTTCTAGGTATTTTTTTCGTATTTTTAAAGTCTCGAAATTCACGACCCTAGGGTACATTTTCCAACTTTCACGCTGTTTTTAGACTAATTATTCATGCCGAAATATATAAAGCCATATTTTTATGTCATCAATGGTTATTAAACTTACAACAAAGGAGCATATTATAATTTTATTGTCATTACAAACTGACTACCATGACAAAATAAGTCTGTCCCTCGATTTGGCGTCACGACCATTTGGGAAAAATTTTCAACTTTGGAGCACGACAGTGGCAAGCCTGGCGTCGATGGAGTCAGTTGGTTTTAGAGACTAGTTCGGGGTGTACGTCAGGTAGTGCCGGTCGTTTCGAGTTGAAAGGAGGAATTACAAGATTAATAAAGGAAAGATTGTGTTTTTTGTAATTTTGGTGTGTCCATGACCGTACGTAGTCATTCGATGGAGTAGACATGGTGTTAAATTTTGTTTATAAGATATTTCAATTGCTAGATTAACCTAGAAGTTCACTTTTTATCCTCGAACATGAGGTGCAGGGCTACCGCCAGAACAGAGCCAAATAACACGTAATTTCACGACCAAAGTTTCACGACCAATCCAGCCTTATGGATTATGGTGTGTTTGGTCGTGACAATAACTTTTAATATAATTGTAAATTGAACAGTTTAGTTCAATTGAAACACATATTTTTATTATAACTAGGCCTAACAGGATAATTGAAGAATTGTTTGGAATTATTTAGATTATTCCAGACAATTCACGACCGTACCGCTTGTCCCTGACCATCACGTTTATGATTTCTATCATAAAAATTTCAAAAATAAAAATATCGTCATATTTCTATGTTTTATACACAAAAGAAGCACACCTCTATACAAACATAACGATTTTTTGGGTCTCAGGTAAGTTTTTTCAGAGTTATAAAAACTTAAAAAGATTTTATTGGTTTTTTTCTATTTTTTGAGTTTTTTAATTTTTTTCTAGAAAGACCAAATATACCAAAAGCTCAGTGACCTTTTTATTGTATAATGGTCATAAAAGTAAATTAGTTTATAGCAAAACATAGTTATAAAAATAATATTAACTATTTTTAATATTCATTTAAACGTCTGTTATGGTTGTGACAGGATTTTGTGTTTTTCCACTAAAGATGCTCTTTTAAAAAGAAACTACCAAAGATATTGCGTTACCATGGACATTTTATGGAACTTCAAATGTTAATGAAATAAAAAAAATAATAAAAGTTTTGAAAAAAGGGGGAAAAAATTTGCAAAGTGCTTTTCCTGAAAACGTACGTTTTTAAATTTTCACTCAAATAGATATATAAACATTTTTATCAGAAAACTGTGCCCGCTGGAAATTCTATAATTGTGAAGTTAGCGTACCCACTTTGTATGCCTTATAACCTATTTGTTTTTTGAGATCTAACAACAATATTGGAGAACTATCGAGAACTAACAAAGAACTAACGATTGGTATATAGATATAAGCATTTTTAGTCAGAAAACTGTGCCTGCTGGAAATTCTATAATCGTGAAATTAGCGTACCCACTTTGTCACTTTGTATGTCTCGTAACTTTTATATTTATGAAGAACTGACGTAAATATTTGAGAACTGTCAAGAACTAACGAGTGGTATATATATAAGCATTTATAGTCAGAAAACTGTGCCCGCTGGAAATTGTGAAGTTAGCCCACTTTGTATGCCTCGTAACTTTTTTTATTTTTGAGAACTAACGTAAATATTGGTGAACTAACGAGAACAAACAATGAACTAACGATCGGTATATAGATATACATTAATCATTTTTATTCAGAAAACTGTGCACGCTGGAAATTCTATAATTGTTAAGTTGGCGTACCCACTTTGTATGCTTCGTAACTTTTTTTATTTTTTGAGAACTAACGAAGAACTATTGGTATATATAGATATAAGCGTTTATAGTCAGAAAACTGTGCCCGCTGGAAATTCTATAATTGTGCAGTTAGCTAACTATTAGTTTTTTTTTTATTTTTTGAGGGCTAAGGAAAATATTGGAGAACTATCGAGGACTAACGAAGAACTAACGATTGATATATAGATGTAAACATTTCTCATCAGATAATGGCGCGTGCTAGAAACCGGAAGTGTGAAGTTAGCGTACCCACTTATTATCGGCTATAACTTTATTATTTTTTGAGAACTAACGAAAAACATTGGGAACTATAGAGAACTAACGATTGGTATGATCAAAAGTGGATACGCTAATATGGGTGCGCCAACTTCACGGACCTTAGGTTAGCTGTCATCATAAGTTATTCAACAGTTTTTTAGTATGGGCTAGGCCGATTACACTAGTTTAGGTAAAGTTAGGTTAGGGAATGATCTGAGTTGTTAAATTATATTGCCTCCACATTGTGTTCATACAATTACAATGGTTAGTCAAAATAAACACGTCAAAAAATCAAAAATAATTGCGCAATGACTTAAGACTACATAACCTTAAACTTACCATGAATGAAGTAAAAAAAGTAAGTTAATTTTAATGTAAGTTAGTTAAATTTCATTTTTTTATCAACCAGATAAGTTATTCAGATTTTGTTTTATGATATGTTTAAACAAAAATTAGGCTAATGCCAATTCAATTCAAATCTTTTTAATACATAGTGATTACTGATTGTGTTTGTTTTGTTTATAAGAATTACAAGCAACAAGCAACCAAACCACTGACACTGAACTGACACTTCTGAACTGACTAAACCCATGGTGGAAGGAAAAAACATAGGTGTGCTATTCTCACATATTCTGACGTCACTCGGATTGCAAACAAAGACTAAACCAGAACCTGCGGCGTAGCTATAACCTCTATTTTCTATGCTATTACTCACTAAAATTTATGTTTTTTAAATAGGAAATAATATATCTAACAATTTTTAGGGAATAGTAGAAATCCAGCCAGGTAAATGGAAATTCGCTTAGTCTGTAGGCTTGCTGCGGTTACACAATTGAAAATTTGTCTAATGATAATGATTGAATACATGCAATTAATCTTATTAACCTATGATGATCTGCCTTAAATAATACGATAAAATATAGGCAACAGTGGCCAAAAAGGCAGTCAATAACCCGTACTATAGATATAGATATATGATAATACAATAAGAAATAATTTTAAGAGTTGCTGAGATTTTCCACTGATTTCCGGTGATGTGACGAGTTGAGTTGGCGGGTCGAGTTGACTCGAGTCAAGACCCGAGTCGAGTCAACTCGAGTCATCTCAATTACAACTCGAGTTGGTACGAACTCGTACGGAGATTGCCGAAGCTACACGAACTCGTAACGTAACGAGTCCGACTCGCAAAACGAAACCGAACTCATACGGAGAAAGCCGAACCTACACGAACTCGGAACGTTTCGAGTCAACTCGACTCGTAAAGCTGACACGCTATTGGCTGGTAGCTGGTACCGAGTCGGCCGACTCGCAAAACTAACGAACTCGTACGGAGAATGCCGAACTCACACGAACTCGGAACGTCTCGAGTTGAGTCGAGTTGACTCGTAAAGCTGACACGCTATTGGCTGGTACCGAGTCGGCCAACTCGCAAAACTAACGAACTCGTACGGAGAATGCCGAACTCACACGAACTCGGAACTTCTCGAGTCGAGTCGAGTCGACTCGTAAAGCTGACACGCTATTGGCCGGTACCGAGTCGGCCGACTCGCAAAACTAACGAACTCGTACGGTGAATGCCGAACTCACAGGAACTCGGAACGTCTCGAGTTCACTGAGCTAAAATTATAACTGGAGGTAGCACTGCCATGGCAGAAGTCTGTCAAAAGCGAGTCGCTGATTTTGTTAGGTTGGTATAGCAGTAAGTTTTCTTACCATAGCAATAACATGGCTTCTTATAACTAGGTTGGTATAGCAGTGAGTATTTTTGTCATACTTGAATACTTTTAATACTTTAATAATTTTCTTTGAAATGGCGACCATACAAAGTAGGTATTTTAAGCCAAGTATAATAATAGTTATAGCAATAATATGGCTTCTTATGACACCAGACTCACGCAAACATGGCGGCTGGCGACACGCATCTTTGACATTCAGTGCTACCTCCAGTTAGAATAATTATAGCTCAGTGCTCGAGTTGAGTCGTAACTCGAGTTCACGGCAGTTGGCGAGTCGAGTCACTCGAGTCAGGAAAGTACCCGACTCGTCACATCACTACTGATTTCGTTTTCTTTTTATGGCTCATCTACAGACCAAAAGAGACCTTTCTTTAGACTCCTCTACCAAGCTTCTACTATAGATCAAACATGTTTTATCCATGCTTCCACGCTCATCCGTTCTCGTAAATTAGTGGAGACAAAGTTTTCAATTAAATAGTATAGATTCGCCCATGTTAACATTATGAGGGAAAACCTAACTTTGATGGAAGATCCTGCCCAAAATAATGAAGATTACAAAAAATGAAAACCACTTAGCAAAACTACGGATCAGTGTCATTTTTTGACACTTAAATAAAAATCTGTATAAAAATTAGGGAGGAGTTCTGCTCACAAAAATCGACTTAGGCCCAGCGCACACGGTGTGACTGTTTTACAACAACTGTTGCAAACCAGTTGCGTCTGGAACCAGATTGCAACTGAAACAAAACTTCTGTCCACACACGGTGTGACTGTTTTACAACTACAGTTGCGTCTATTGTGCAATCAGTGGAGTGCAAATTTAGTGCAGTTACGTTGTTTTAAGGCCTTAAGTGCGCTTACTACGTCGGACTGAGACGAAGAAGACGTTATTAGCTAATTATCAATACCGAAGACAGCGAAGGGTACTGAGAGAGCATTGGTTTCACCCTTATTTGAGCAAGAATGTTAGTACTATGCTGTTTGTAGCAGCTAGAGCTATTCGGATAGGACATTATAAACACCAAAATACCACCAAACACCACAAAAACACCCCGTGGTCTCGTGCAACTGAAGTCTGCAACGCAACTGCAACGTCGGGCCCACGGTTGTATGTGACTGGTTTCAAACCTTTTTGAAATCGCATACAACCAGTTGTGTCGTGTACTCCTCCCCACTGCAATACATTGCCGAGGTCTCAAAACAGTTGCACGCGCAACTGGTTTGCAACGAAAGCGAAAGCTGTAAAACAGTCACACCGTGTGCGACGATCTTCTCACCGCAGTATTTCACCTCCCTTTTTTTAGAACCTTTGGAACAGTTACACGGAACTGTTTGGGATAATGTTCAATACAACTGTGACAAAAAGTATAGAATAGGTTAGGCGAAACCGTTATATTACAAATAGCTCCGTTCCTTCTCAACTTTATTATTTTTCCTGCATAAAAATTTAATTATTATGATATACCTTTTTTCCTCCTCCTCATAATAATAACAAGTCTTTTATAGACATGGACATAACCTGTAAGTTAGTTAACTGGTTTCGTTTATTTAATTATTCTTACATTACATCAAGAAAACCGGCTTATTCTTAAAAGACAATGATATAATAGCATATTAAGGAAAACTATTCAAAGAAATTGCACAGTTTTGTTAAATTTGCTAACAATGAGAAAGGTTATAAGGTATAAGGTATTGTTGATGGAGCAGGAGTCACAATGAAAAAGCACATACAAATTGAAATCAAAAGTTTTATTATTATATTTATAGTTATATTTTGGATACAGTATTGTGAAGTTCATAATTATAATAAATTTAACTTACCTTCTTCTGTTTCAAAATTCAACTCCCCAACTATTATTTCAATGGCATGGGCTTCTTCCAGATGCTGGATCAAGTTTTCAAACCACGAAAATTGATGAGAGCAATCACCCTCTGGGCCTCTGGGCTCTGGGCAAATAAGCCTTTTCGGGTTGTTTGAACAGTCAGATTGTTCACTACAACAACTAGGCCTATCATGCACATTACGTGTATGGCGCGTTAAATTAAATTTACTAGCAAAAGTGTTTGTCACAAAATGAACATTCAAACTTTTTTGTATTAATATCAGACATACTGATCCGGTAACTCTTTAACTTGAAATTACACCATCGATTTGAGATAAAGTTTCCAATCACTTGACAAAATGGAGGTTAAAGACAGAGATCCACGAAAAACAAAATGAACGCCTAAAAAGGAAATGGAATGGAACTCTTTGTTTGTAATGTAACGGTTTTAACAAATCTATTCCAAACAGTTCCGTGTAACTGTTCCAAAAGTTCAAAAAAGGAAGGTGAAATACTGCGGTGAGAAGGTCGTCGTGTGCGCTGGGCCTTAGCGTGAAATATATATATGTAAACAACTCAAACGTATAATTTGATACGACAGATACGACATAGTGTTTATTGCATTAACTTACATATTGATATTTATAGAAATGTATAAAAATAACAAAAAAGGTGGATTTGATCCGTTTAAGATCGTTCTCGAATAAATGTAGTCAGATGATGTTGTGATACTAGATACAGTGGGGAACACCTGCTTAACATATATAATAATTATTATAATTCCATTTTTTTTTAAACAATATTCTTTAACTTATTTAAGCAAATTTTTAATAGTTATAGGGGAAAGATTAATTAATTATATAACAATCAATTATAACAGTAGCCTACTAATCTAATGGTAATTAAATAATCAATATTCAAATACTAGTATCCTCTCCAACTACCAGAAAAACAATTCAACTACTTTAGGCCTAAACGGATTAACAGAATAATATTATTCTGTAGCATCAAAAATATTTTAAGTATTGTGACCATTGCACCTGCCTACTACTCTTTCACCACTTGAAAACACTCATAATCAACAATCACAAATTAGCTCAGAGGTAAGGTGTGAGGCTCATAAGGCGAAGGTACCCACCGGGTTCGAGACCCGTTCCGGACAAATATTTTTATCTCGTTTTTTTTTTCAAAATAAGATTTTATGAACTATTTCATCAATTTACTCAACTCATAATTATGCTTTTCATACAAAATCTTTATTATTATGTGTTTTTATTGTTTAGACCCAATTGGCATGACAATTGACAATAGTTATTTGTGCAACTAGTGAGCAAAGTGAGCAATTGACTCACTCGAGAGAAATGTTTACTCACGAGCAATAGGCGAGTGAACAATGGTTTCTCGAGTGAGGCAATTGCACTTTGCACTCGAGTTGCACATTATATTTTTCCTACAGTTACAATAAAACAAATAAATTAGTAAAGAAACATGACATATTTTTACACAGAAGTGAACTTTTAATATGACATTTAATGATCAACACGATCAACAACAGTACAACAGCTGAGAGCTGACCAGCTGATTTACAGCCAGTGCTGCCAACGTATTTCGCGCGCATACGACCTTGTCTGCATGTTACGCGCTCACTATTTCGTGCCTTCACGTTGCAAATCTGGAGTGAGACAAAGTAATTAGAGTGAGACAATGTTAACATTGTCTCACTGATGAGCGAATTGGCCACTTTGCTTTCTCAAATCGGCGAGAGAACATGTACATTGTTAGGTAACTGTAGGAAAAAGATTAACTCTACATGGAAAAACCACATTGAACAAAAGAATGTACATCTAAATTTAAAATTTAAACATATTCTGGCTTCTGAACAGTAGTAGATCAAAATTGACCACGGAATAGTTATTTCCTGCAGTTACTTTAAAGCATAAATAATTAGTCTTTCAAATACTACAGCACCTTATCAGGTTAGGTTAAATTGACTATTTTCACCATTAATCATAGCTTGAAAAGAGATACCTAAATAAGTTAGTATTTTACTATCAAGTTTTATTTACTATCAAAACAAATTAATAAAGTTTCAAAATAACTTTAAATACTCAGGTTTTCACGTGCAATAACTATGTTTTTGATACTAGTCCTTGAAATAACGGATAACGATAACCCCAAATAAATATAGTATGGTTAGGTTAAAATGAATTGGAATTTGACAGCATCCCACCAACCGATCACACGGCCAACCTAACAACACGAAACACCGAAAACAAACCAGAAAAAACAGTGGCACATTTTTATCTAATGACCAGAGAGTAGTGACTCCAGTTATAATATATTTACCTCAAAGGTTATAAGTCCAATTAATTGTGAATGAAATCGAAATGGTAAACACTGCAACAGCTGATTGTAATTGTATTATCTTTAATTGTTGCCAACTTTTTCCAAGCGGACACGGATTACGACCATAATAAACGCACGCTATTTGTGGTGTTTGGTTGGAATACTGGTGTGCGACAAAGTAAAAACTGTGCGCCAAAGTAAGTAAATACAGCAGTTTGCAGCTTCCTGTACTACAATCCGTACAAGGAAGCCCACTTTGTCGGGTGACTGTAGGAAAAGTGACGTTTTATTAATTGGTTTTGCATTTGCTGAATGTTCAAAAAGCTGAACAGATTGTAAATAAAATTGTCATAAAAAACAAATTATAATGTGTTTACCAACTCAGCTGACGGTCTTATAAGACCAAGTTGGAAAAATGCGAGTCTGTTGTGTGAAACATGGACCTTTCTATAATAGGGGAATGGTGTAAAACTTGAACACCAAACACAAAAATGTGTAATTAAAACATTGTTTCATTTCAGTATTATTGTAACGCGAATCGTTGAATCACCTGCGTTCTTGAAGCGCAGTTGGTTACACTGACGTTGACGTAGTTCTTTATTGATTTGGGATTGGGAGTGGGTTGGGAACGTTGGGAATTGAAGTAAGGGAGAAGAATACGAAATAACAAAAAGATCAAGTCGAAGTCAACTGTCAGTAAAGAAGATAGAAGAAATAAACAAAAACAACATTAAAGTATAAGCTAACCTCCTAGTTGTTCTTTAATTTAAGTGACAAGTACTAACTAAAAAGGGAAGGTGGCAACGAAATCAATATGAAGATAAAGTTTGTTGTTGTTGATAAGTTCGTTGGTGTCTAAAACTTAAAAGCTTCTTATTCTACAGTATTCAAAATAATGTAATGTATCTACAATTTGATTTTTTGGACATGAACTTTGAACATGAAACTGTTAGCCTATGGTGAATTGGATACAAAGTAGCATACATTGTTAATATTATACTACTAATTATTTTCATTTGAAGCCCAGCATTTCATAAAGATTCATGTTCATTATGGGAGAGTCTGAAAATATTTCGATTTCATTGGACACAACCCTCCTGAGAAAACAATTCATTCAAGGGTTGAATGGATCAACTATGAGTGATGTAATTATATTTTCCTCACAATTCCCTTTACTGACTTTTGTTGCTGTATCATTTGAATTTTTTACCCTAAAGAAGCTGCAACTGACCTCCTTCAAAATAAGTAATACTCCCAAAAGTCTCTATAGCTCTATTTTTGTTTATTTGCTAGAAACTCTGATGATTGTTTTGCCTGTAACCGCAATGTTCACATTTTTCTCAGCTTACATTAATATTTTTTTCTTTGTCATGGTTGGTTTGATCACTGCAATTGTGATTTCATGTGTGTCAAGTGTGGACGATAATGTTTTGTATTGGAAACTAACAAATTTGAAACAGGAGTTGATGTATAAAGAAATAAGTTGCAAGAAGCAGCTTTATATAACATACTTCAGATCATTTGTGTTATTAGTAACAGCCGTTTCAATCTTAGGGGTGGACTTTCACATATTCCCCCGTAGATTTGCGAAAACTGAAACTTATGGTGTATCATTAATGGATATAGGCGTTGGTATGTTTGTGATTTCAAATGCACTCGTTGAAAAACAAACATCAGGCACATTTACTTGGAAAAAGACTGTGATGTCAAGTTTAGTACTTTTATCCATAGGCATTATGAGATGTTTATTGATACAAAATCTTGATTATCAAATGCATGTTTCTGAATATGGTAGACACTGGAACTTTTTTATTACGTTAGCGTTTACAAAATTACTATCTACCTTGTTTTGTATTACTTTTAGAGGTCATAGTTTGGTGACTGGTATAGTTTTGGTCTTAATCCATCAGTACTTACTCTCTCATTCATTAGAGTCATTTGTATTTGGTAACAATGACAGAAAGAACTGGTTTACTGCTAATATAGAAGGAATTGTATCCCTAAGTGGATATTTAGGCCTTCATATGATTGGTATCGCAGTTGGGAATTTTCTTAATCCAAGAGATAAATACCTCCAAACTAAACACAAAATGAAGGCAATTCTGATTTTCAGTGTGACATCTGTGTTTTTGTTCTTCACATTGTATTACTTTGAAAGTGCAGATATCAAAGTTAGTAGGCGCTTAGCAAACCTACCATATGTTCTTTGGATAACAGCTATCAGTCTTGAACTACTTGTACTGTTTTTATTAATAGAATTTACTTTGTATTGGCTGTTACCTATAGAACCACAATATAGAAACAAACTCTACTACATTCTCACTCCGGTTGTGCTCGAAGGTATTAATTTTAATGGATTACTTTTTTTCTTAGTGTCCAACTTGATCACTGGTCTAATAAATATTTGCATAGATACATTCAGTTCTAGTTTATGGACAAGTTCATTCATACTATTGGCTTACATGTTTGTGGATTGTGCCATGGTATTCTTTTTATATGTATTCAATATTCGCCTGCAATGGTAGGTCTCAGTGGGTTTTGCAAATATTTTCAAACAACATAGAGACATAATCTTATCTGCGTTTTTTGTGATTAAAATCAAATCAATTCATTGTGATTCTAAATTATTGAGAATGGAAACAAATCATTCAAATGCCAGCAAAACAACAATACTAACAGTACATATCCGACTATATTTGTTCTAAAAATTGGTGTAAAATACCTGCATTTATGCGATCTTGTGTTGTAGCTGAGTTGCTACCGGTTTCAACTCACATTGGAGTCATCTTCAGGCAGTTATAAGATATTATATTTGTTATAAATTATGGTGGAGTGAACCGAATATTAATATTTATCATTCAACTTTCAACATCCAACCAACAGACTGTAATTTGGTTTGTTTACTTTTCTATTTGTACCTATTATAAGTTATTATTAACTGTAATATTACTAAATAACCAATTACGAGTGTAGTCAAAATCCATGGTGGAAGGAAAATACATAGGTGTGCTATTCCCGTCATATGCTGACGTCACCCAGATTGTAAACAAAAAATCACCTGATTGTATTGCCATATAAGTATACATATTTGTTTTGATTTGATTGTTATCGTTCTTATAATTTTTATAAATGGTAAAATGGGGAATGGGCATACGGATGGGACGATGGCTAAAGGTGTGGTGACGTCATATCTATAGTGGCTATAGTCTTCTCTTGAGACAACACGATTACAGTAACGAGACGATGTGATTCCAGCGGCGTTCGTGGCATAGTTGGTAGCGCATCGGACTAGTATTCAGGAGGTCTAGAGTTCGAGACCCATCGGGGACATTAACTTTTTGTCAAAGATTTTGCTTTATTAGATTTGTATCTTATATCTTTTTTATATTATCAGCAAGTTTGGTTGGTTAGGTTAGGTTATAACAGTTTAATTTTATAATTAAAAAGTTAATTTTATAACTAAAAATTATAAAATGAACTTAATTTAAATTTTTCAACTTAGCGGTTCTAGCGGCGAACGCTGACACTATGTTAGCCATCGTCCCTCCCGTGTGTCCCACCGGGTAAAATGGTATTTGCAATCTAAGTGACGTCAACATATGACGGGAATAGCACACCTATGTATTTTCCTTCCACCATGCTCAAAATCATTAAGCTATTATTAGCTACCTTCATGACATGTTACTTCACCCAAAAATACTTGTAATTAGATGACAATTAAAATTAATTTGTATATTTGAAGTGAAAAAATGAACAAATATTAAGGTACCTGAGGTTAAAAGTGAAATATGTAGTGACCTACATTTATTACACAAGCAAGAAAAATGACAAAGTAATCAAATACGCATATTAACACTGGCTTTTTGATACCAAATCAACTTTTCATGGAAATGGACCAGCTGTTACCATTGAAAAAAAATATTGTAAAACGATTGAGTAGTATTGTACAATGATTACATTATGTATTTTGACTTATTATCCAAATTTTGAACCAAAGAGAGTAGGCCTAACATCCATTTTTAGTTTAACAATCAATTTTTTCATCAGTCACATTTCAAGTTAGGCCTATAGGATGTGTGTATAACTAAAACCTGTACGTAGACAATTTAGAGGAAACTGTCAAAAAATAAAAAAAAACTTTATTATGCCTAGATCTTCTCTTTAAAAATTTCAAATTGTCGAGGTTAATCATTTGAATTTCCAAAATAGCTTGTCTCCTAAACAATTAGCAAATAAATTCATTTACAACGTGTGAGCAAGTTTTCTGGTGAGCGGGTTTATGAGCAAGATAATGTAATGAGATTTAACTGTAACAGCAATGAAAAGTTTACTTTTGAGTTCAAAAGTCCATGGTGATAACTGCTGAGGATTATACAGATTTTTTTATATTTACTAAGGCTATGAAAAATTAAAATTGATCAGTAGTTTAACCTAAAGATATGGAAGTTGCTACATGTATTGTAATGTGGCTGTACCTAACCATCTGTCAGTATTCAATTGATTTGAACTTAAAACACATGTTAGCAATTATTGTTAACTAATATTTACTTTTCTTGTTTACCTTTTTCTTTCTTTTGATCTTGTACTTTTGGTCCAGACAATAAATCCTCTAAAATACTAATTATATTATTTTATTAATTATTGTACATCATCACTAACCACACTGGTGACCAACGATAATTGAAGCAACATAAAAGTAAATCCTTCAAGACAGGACAGCATCTCCAAGAAACCTCAACTTTCGTCAGTCAGAACAAAACCAGGTTAGTTTAGACCTAAAAATGTCAGACACTGAAGAAAATGTCACTGGGAGGGGAGTATGTGGCTGTACCTAACCATCTGTCAGTATTCAATTGATTTGAACTTAAAACACATGTTAGCAATTATTGTTAACTAATATATACTTTTCTTGTTTACCTTTTTCTTTCTTTTGATCTTGTACTTTTGGTCCAGACAATAAATCCTCTAAAATACTAATTATATTATTTTATTAATCATTGTACATCATCACTAACCACAGTAAGATATATTGATTAATACATGTTTTGTAAGACATTATCTAAAAGCAAAGTAAAAAATACATTAATTTTGACACCATTTTATTCATCAGGATTTGTATTACTAAACATAATAAGCCCAAGCCTACTGAATTAGGTACAGCAGAACTCAAGAAAAGATAATACAAACTTTGAAAACCAGTATTTTACAACAAAAATAATCAAAAGGTATTTGTTAACCCAATTTTAAATTATAGTTTTATAGAACCCTTATTTAGCTCTCTTATAGGTAAACTTTTTTATCCTGTTGCAAAGGTAAAGGTGGAAAAAATAACTTAATTTACCAATATGGTCACATGAATTGCAGCAAATTGTCAATTAACATGTTTTTTTAGCAAATGTTTTAGTTTTTTATGTTACATGTTAGCCTATCTTTCAACAAGTGAACAAGTATTGAGTAGGTTAACATAAATAAGTGCTGTATATCGAGCTAAAATTTTGTACAAGTGAAAGTATTATTTGTTAAGTTTTATGAAGGCCTGTATTTTAAAATATTTGGTAGATATTGGATTTCTATTATGCTTTGGTTACGAACAAACAATGCTGTTTCCTATTAAATGTTTTATTTAATTATTTTCCTTATACATTATATATGTAACAGAGAAAAGATTAAAATTAAATCCATATGTATATACTATCTTATGAAAAATAAAATATTTTAGTCCCTAATCATGAAGTTTTATTCTCACTAATATGTTTCTAAGGGTAAAAACACATATACAGCGATTAAGAGCGGAGCAATGTGATTTAGACTTTAGAGCAACAAAATCATACTCATATAATCAAGTAGTAACAAGGACACGAACCACTTCTTAAAATGTAGCGTAGGGGCGCGTTAACTTTGAAACAATGTCATTGGTTTTTACAAGCATTTGGGAACGAAGCAGGAAACGTCTATGTCACAAGTCAGTTCTTGGACGCTAGGCACAATCCGGGATTGTTTCTCACATTACTTTCAGGCTAGACCTAGGGGTTGCGGCAATATCACTTGGATAAAATCCATTGGTACAGTAGACTACCTCTTATCCGGACTCCTCGGGACCGAGGCCAGACCGGATAACGGGTTTTCCGGTTAAACCGACGTCCCCAAAAACTCGTTAAAACGGATTGTTTACTCAAATCAAATCAAATCAAAAAATCCTTTATTCAAACAGTACATTTGTATACATGAATTGTGTCAAGTCAAGAAACATAACTATACATTGATATACATAACTATTGATTTGACATACTAATAGCTAATTGAAAAAGTCCCCGATCTTGTAGCAGCATTTATCTGACAACAATTTGAATAAACTGGTTTTAAATCTTTTAAAATCTGTCAAACCCTTTATGGTGCTATTACTGTGATATTCGACTTAAATTTGGGAGAGCATTGTATTTAGACACGTGATCACTGGTCTCAAATCTTTCCCATGAGAACAATTGTTTCAGTACTGCCCACTTCCTGCCGATCTAGACCGTTAAAACCAATGTGCTGATAAAAATTGTCCGGTTAAAGAGATGTCATTTCTGCCTAGTGTAGTCCGGTTAAACCGATGTCCGGTTAAAAGTTGTCCGGATAAGAGGGAGTCTACTGTAATTTGGCGGGATCTGAACCCGGGACGACAGGAGCCGAAGTCCCACACTCTAACCACTAGACCAGCTCGCTCCTTAAAGGTAGAGTAGTGTTGTAAATTTAATTTACATATATATTTCTTTAAAATTTCAAAATAAATAATAACAACTATGTTAATCATTCAGATATTGTGAAGGTAAAAGGAGCTTCTATTGGATGTGCTATATTTTACAAATAAATTCTTCCTCACGGTAGTTTAATCCCCTCAAAAAATATGATAAACTCTTACCTAATAGTTACCAACATCCTTCTGCACCTATTGGTTTCCTCCAAATAGAGACCTTACCAAAAACAAATAATTTGGTATATTGAAGTGTTGTTTATACAATTAATGGTACTGTAACGGAGAAAATAAAAAAAATATAGGCCTACATTTTAATTCCCATGTTATTCTTATGGAGAAAAAATAAAACTGTTGTCGTTTGTTTATGGATATATGTTGACCGAATTTGGAAAATTTATTTATTTATTCCTACACTATTAACATCCTACAAAATAATATTTCTTACCTTTACCGTATCAGCAAAAAATGTTATTTAAATGGGGTATAAATATATGTCTTGTTTATCGAAATATTTTTGTAAAAATCCCATCAGATGAATTGAAATTAACTTTTTTTCCATGATAGGTTAGCCTCTGGATCGAAAATTGCAATATAAAATGGTTTAGGTTACCTTTTGCGTTGAACGATCCTTGATGTAGTAAGTGATAACAAGTAGAAACTACTACATCATAACTACTACATCAAGACTTCTTGATGTAGTTATCACTTACTACATCAAGGTTCGTTCTACGCAAAAGGTAACCTAAACCATTTTATATTGAAATTAACTTATTCTGCAGGATTGCTACAGCAGGGGTATTTTAATGAACTAAAATGCTTTATTCATCCCAAAAGGGGGAGGGTCCACAAGGAGTAAGTGGAAAATTTTGAAAGTAAGCATATCGACATAATTAAAGGACTTATTAGTAGACAATGATGCCGCAAATCCGACAGCGGTGTTTTAAATCTTTTCTTACGCTATAACAATTAACTGCTGATACCGTTGGAATAGAAAAAAACCATTAATCAACAAAGGGGGTTTGACAACAAATGTAAGAAAAGCATTAACACTCGTCATTTTGGATAGTCAACCTTTGAGTTCAAGTTTGCGGCTTCATTTACAAGTAGACTCCCTCTTATCCGGACTCCTCGGGTCCGAGGGTACATGGGGATGGAATGTCTATAGTGCAAAATTCTCTATTTTCACCCTACAACATGTGATAGGAATTTCTTCCATTAGTTTTGATTTTCTGTTCGTATTTCGTTGTTATTTTGTCACCAGCATAGCTAAAGCCAATGTTAACGTTTAAATAAATTAAAATTCATTTTTTGGGCTTATTTTAATTTATAAAGATATTCTGCACATCTACAGGTAAATATCTTTCTAACAGTATGCGTAGATTTTCCCTGCGATGCACACGAGCTGTGAAAACAAGGTTTTAAAGAAACATGCTTGCCTATTCTCGATGTCTATTATATAGAAGATAATAGCCTCATATAAAATAAATAAATTTGCCAAGTTTGATCAAAAAGTATATCCATAAACAAGCAAACTTCAACAGTTCACTTATTCTCCAGAAGAACATGAAAATTTTAAATTAAAATTTTTTGAATTTTCCTTGTAACCAATACAAAAATACAAGTACAAAAATACTTGTATATATTAAATTATTTGTTTTTCAAGCTCTACAAAATGGTTTAGAGGTAAATTATGATATTTTATTTTTTGAGGGTCTAAAGTGAGAAAAAAACAATTTTTACCCCATAAAACCCCATTCCCATGGTCCAATCATGCTGGTTTGCGAACTTGATCGAATAAACGTAGGTTTACACATTTGTACCAAATTTCATAAAAAACAAAGCAATTTGCTTGAGTTATCGTGCAAGTGAATTTGAATGGATGGTGTTTTTGGCCTCTGAGGACATCAAAACGAAAAAGTAATTTGGTCCCAGATCCAGGTCTTACCATGAGAGCTACGGCAAAAGCTTTTCCCTATATGGGAAATTCATTAAAAAACAGTTCCTTTAAAAGTAAAGTATGACTCAATCATACCAATTTATACTGTTTATTTATACCCAATAGTTTTGACTAAGTCAATGGGCACATTCTGGGAACATGTATTGGTGCACCAATGCAGATGATCAGGTGACTTATTCACCGGTACCGCACCGGTACCGCCCTAGAGTAAGAGTCTTGGGATCCCAGAACGGTTAGTCACCAGTTTACGGCGCACATGGGATTGTAATTTACACATCAACCTACTATTTTCTTTATAATATATCAACCTACTATTTACTTTATAATATTAAAATCAAACACACTTGCCGTCACAGAATAAATTATTCAATTAATTATTACATAATAAAAATAATCCGTCAAACAGATTGATTGGAAATTGATTTGATGGACCTTGCCATAGCTGCTTACAGATCCCCAAGAAACTGATTATAAGTTGCCGCTGGTGTATTACGCACCTTACGATTTCTCCGGTGCATGAATCTTGCACCGGTGGAGAAAAAAAGGGAAATATCTGTCTGCCAGGTAAACTCACGGATCTCCCAGAACAACACATTTTCTGCACTGATCCCATACCGGTGCACAAGTTCGTGTTTCCAGAACGCGCCCAATGATAATAGTTAAATGACAATATATTAAACCATTCCGGGACTTTTCAAACACTCTGTATAAGAGATTCGTATGGAGGAAACAGGAGTCCACCTTTGCATACATTCACCAAAATCTAAAAGTAATTTTCCTAAAGTACATGATAGTAACAGTGCAACAATTAACAAACATATATGCAAATAGGATGAAAATACTTTGTAAACTGTTTAGTTTCTTGGTATTACAAAATATGTTTACTAAACCTGTCAATATGTTTCCTAACAAAAAGAAGAATAACCCGTTCATGTTAACAGCTTCGTAAATAAGTGGAGTGAGGAAAGTGTAAAACTTCTCATTCACTGAAGAAGGCAGGACAAAACAGATGACAAATAGTTCCACACATGAGGCCATTGCTACATGTGCGGCTGCCATGGCTAGTACCCATGTAATGTAGGTTATGTTTACCACTCGTCTACATGGAGGATAGTAGGGACTTAGGTATGAGCTCACAGCAAACAAAACCAAACTGAGCATCAAAAGCTTAGCTATGGATTTCAAGTCACCCTTGATATAGGTACAAGTTTGAACTATAAATTTATTCAATGAAACCCCGATAAGATAAAGACCTGTGTAACCCAAAGTTGACACTAATCCTTCCCTATTCGCATCGATCAGATTTTCTCTTGGTTTATCTCCAAGAACATAAGCTTCTGCTCCAAAAGTCAAAATGCAATGATGCAACAAACATACAAAAACACTAGCCAGAGATGAATTAGTTTTAAATACATATAGGACAATGAAAGTCAAAAGTCTCACCACGCCTAGAGTAATAAAGAAATTCCAGTAGACTCCGTATTCAGACACATTCACACCGTAGTCAATTTCTTTAACAAATACACATCTCAAAACTCCAATTATAAACAATACCAAACTTCCAACAAAGCATTGGCCAAACCCCTGATTTACAATATTTTCTAATTTCAACACAGCGGCATTACATAATATAAAAAACCCAACTCCAACATCCATTAGAGACATACCGTACTTTTCTGTCTTTGAAAACTTCCTCGGGAATATTCTAAAATCCACTGCTAATATCGATATAACTGTCATTATATTTACAATCGAACGGCAACAAGTAATAAAAGATCGTTTTGAGTCGTGTATTGGTAGTTTTAGAATATCAGGGATTTGGTAAACGATATAGTTTGTAGTCGAGCAATGACGTAGACAGATTCTGAACATAAGTAAGCTATTAATTATCACCAAGCTTATAATAACACTAATTTGGCTGCCAGACAAGATTGTTGTTACTAGTATCAGTAAAGTAACTATCAAAGTGAACTCTTTCACAAACACAGTAACCTTCCGTTGGTTAACCACTTCACAAACATTAGGGATGCACGTATCCTCCAAACAAGTATGTGACACTGGGTAAAACAGTCTTCCGATGAGAATCACCATCAAAGTACATAGGTGGGAAGGTAATGTTACACACATAATTTCTCCTACACTAGTTAACAAAGCACCTTTTCCACTTTCGTTGGTGCCAGACTCTAACATTGTGAAAATTTTGTTGAAGAAAGTCATTAATAATAATCATTCAAAAGAATTAAAACCAGTTTTCACACACTGTCTATACACTAAACATTTCACCCAAGGCCTAGTTATCATGCTGTCTACTCTAAATGAGAACAGACATGAGCTGTTTAATCGCACACTGTTATCATCGTGCCTCTGCATCTGTATTTTGTTATTTTGTAATCAGTCTGGTTTTGAGCATGTTTACTCAATTGGCAACTGTTGGTTTTATGGCCTTGTTGCTTCTGTTTCTGAGCCACAAATGAGTTTAATTTGAATATGGGTTCACTTTATTTTGTTCTAATTAAAAATATAAATAATAAATAATTTATAAGTTCTAAATAATATTAGCCATGGTATTTAACTCATACGAAATTGTTTTTTAATTTAACGCTTGAAGTAAATATTGAGGTTTATTTTAAAACAACAGCAGGCACTGCATACCTGCAGACGTTCAAATTTGTGGTTTATTTAGTTGCGTTGTTAAGATAGAAATGTACACTTTGGTCAAGAGTGAGTAATATCATATACTACTAAGCAACACAAGGAGTATGTTTTATCCATGGTAATATTGGTTCGATGAATGTTTTCACTTGCTGCTACAAGAAACAAAAGAGTTGCTTCTTTGCAGTGATTTGAAAATGTGCCAAATACAAAAAAAATACTGTATAAGTTATATTATCTATGAGCAAAGGACTTGTTGCAGTTATGATTCTGTTTAAGGATAAAAGGGTGAAAATTTACTGTGTTTACACCTCGGAAAACATCAACACACACCCATCAATACGTCAAAATTAAGATTTTTGAATAAATTTGGTCAGTAAAGCTCAATTAAAATTGTATGATTCAGATTAAAACATAATTAATTATCCGAGTATCCAATGTGTAGATTTTTATGATTCACAAATCCATCATGTTAGTTTACTAGGTCGATGACACATATTTTACTAATAATATTTTTACTAGCAATGTATTTTACAAACAACTATTTGGGACCAACCCTTAAATGAATTAAGAGAGGCCATACTCTCCCTGAAAACCAGTTTATAATTGAGGTAAATAACATTTTTATTAATTGTATTTAATAAATACCCCGCCGCAGCAAACCTGCAGACTAAGCAAATTTCCATTTGCCTGATTAGATTTACACTAAAATGTCTCCTTAAAAATATTACATTTATCCCTATTTAAATAGCATTAGTTTAACGAGTACTTAGGTTTGCTGCAACAGGGAGGGTAAAAAGGTGTTTTTTTTAAATGAAATATTAATAGTTTAGTATGAAATGAGTGCATTTTCCAAATTTGATCAAAATATGCTCATAAACAAGCAAACTACAACAGTTTATAATTTTCTCCATAAGAATAACATGGTAATTTAAATTTACGATTTTTTAGAATTTTCTCCGTAGCCATTAGGCGCATAGTAACACTTCACTATACAAAGCTCTATAAAATGGTTTGAAAAGAAGTTGCTAAATTTTATGTTTTTAGGGACAAAAAAACTCAATTTTTAACCCATAAACCCCTGTTCCCATAGTCCGATCTTACTGGTTTGCGAACTCGTTCAAATAAATGTAGGTTTACATTTCATCAAAATCGGATGACTTTTGCTCGAGTTAACGCGCTAATGGACACATATACAAATAATATATATATCTATATGAATTTGAACGGATGGTGTTTTTGGCCTCTATAGACCTCAAAACGAAAAAGTAAATCGGTATGGTAATAGCTTATTCCCTATATGGGAAATTCGCTAAAAAAAATAAACAGTGGCACAGTACTTTAGGAATCGAAGTAAATATTATGCATGGACTATGCCTTTTGTAATGAACTATTCCTTTTGGCACTCGAGATCTAGCAGAACAAAAATATATAATACACCTATACATCTGTGAAACCCTTCAAAAAATATTATACGAGTCGTTAAAATTTTATCAATGAATCATTTATATGTTGTCAAAACACACATAGCATGACTAATATTTGTGTGATTTGGGGTGAGGATCACAACAACAAGTGGCCTTTTACATTGCAAAATTCATTTCTTACAAAATTCAAATTTATTACTTGGTTTGTATGTTTCTGTGTTGTTTCATAAAATAAATCAGAGTGGTTATTTTCCCTCCAACCCTGAAATATTTTGTTGAATTTTAAAATGTAAACATGCTTCCAAATTCTAATAATTTTAGCCTCTGGATTGCTTATATTAATTGATAGTACCCGGGGACCGAGCTTTGCTCGGGGAAAATCATTAGTTTACCCTGAAAGCAGTTTAGTATTGCAGATAGATTAATCCATTCCCAAACTCCACACTGCTCGCCTTATACTACTTCCTTCACCACTCCCTACGTCGTGGATCTGTTTGCCCTCCTTCCCTTATACCATTTTAGAATTGCAGATAACGTAATCTAATCGTCACAAACTCATCACAAACAATCTAATTGCCACAGACAGTTCCCACACTCTGCACTGCTGGCCTCACTACTTCTTTCACCATTTCCTACGTCATGGGCCTGTTTCCTTCCCTTCTCATAGCATTTTAGGATAGATACATTAATCTAACTGCCACACACGGTTCCCACACTCTGCGACTTATGATGGACCTTCGGGTCCGAAATTAATTTTGTATCGATAAAATTGTGTTTAGCATTTAATGTAAAATGAATTTCAACCCCTTGGTTTTGGAGAATCAATAGTTAATCATTTGTTTAAAATCTCAAAAGTTTATTGAATAAATAACAGTAACGATACAGCCAGAGAAAACTTATTACTAGGTAACTTACTGTAAGGTTGATTCACACACTTAAGAAATCTCAACACCGTTATCCATATAAACCAGTACGACTTATTATGCAAGATTAATTATATTCTTGCGCACTTAGTTGACAGGTAAAATTAAGCTACAAACTGTCACACTTATCTTGCAAAAATCTTAAGAAACGACTTTATTGGGTTAGCCACTAGTAAATCTATATATTACTGTCTAGTATTACTTTTTTACAGCTTGTAATGATAAATAAAACTGTCATTTTACGATTAACTTAGAGATAAACCTACCTAAACTAGTAACTACGCTCTTCAATTCCTAAACAAGGTAAGTAACTATAGTAAGCTACTATATAGTTAGTGTAATCCATTTGGTTTATATATTGTAGAGTTGCAGTTTATCCACATATTTGTAGTGGAGTCAGTCAGTTATAAAGCACAAAAAATCATTGAAACTCTTCAAGGGGCAAGTTCAAACTTTCGGTTACAGTACCATGTATTAAAATTTGTAGTTTTTAAGTTTTATAAAACAACTATTACTATTATTTTTGAATATATTTTTGAATTATTTTTTGTAAATTTAATTTGACTGGTTCAAAATTTAAAAGTATCAACATTCCTTGAACTATTGCAGTTCTATATGACTAACTTCAATGTCAAATATCAGAGAGTGAATATCCTTAAGCTAGGTCATTTATGATCAAGATGGGAAGCTCATAAGACTTTTTCCCTTATGCCCCTTCTCAGCCATTTGAGGGCAGTAAAGATGAAGCAAAGCTGCGACACTCAGATGGTTTAAGTCTCCTACAACAACAAACAAATCTTTGTAGTACATAAAACATATTTTTGAAAGAAAAAAATGAATTAGAATTTTTGACTAGCTGGTCAATTTTGACAAGAACACCAGGCTAGGAATTGGAAGAAAATCGTAAATGTAGGCATATGTTGATATGCACATAAAATTAAAGGGCTTTATTGGTGGATTGCAATCCCCCGAATTCAAGCTCAAAAGAACAAATGTGTAAAAAATGGCAGCCGATTAAATCCTACGAATGGCAGATTCAAGAAATCATTGTTGACTTGGTTTGAGTTCAAATTTAAGGCATTGTATTCTGCTAAGGCATTTAATTCGATGCACATATTACCAACTATGCTCCTATTTAAGATTTAATTCTACCTCCTTGCGAGGACCAAACCCATCATGATATTCTAAAACTGATTTCCTTCAAAAAGTAGATTTTTAGGTTTGGTGTTGATGTACCAATACTCAGTATCTTTAGAGTCGTTTTGAAGATGGAATCATATAGTGCTGATAACAAATAATATTACAACTTATATATAATTCAGTTTTACAAATCTTTGTACAACTAAATCCAGACTTTATACTGGACCGATTTTATTAATTATTGGTTTGTTGGAAAGCTTAATTCATGTAGATATGCAAATAGGTAATTTATGAAAGTTGGTTATGGTGACATTTAAAAAAACATGTTTTTCATCACACTATGATGTTTTTAACTGTTTTACATAAGTTAATTGCTGGCTGAAAGTTACGTTTTGCTGGCTATTCCAGCTGTCATCGTCATTTGGGGACCGAGTAGGGTTTTACATCCCTAGGGCCGCGAAATCAGCTGCCCACTTACTTCTTAAAACATGAATGCATATTAAATACACAATCAGTATCCATAGTGTTGCAATAGAATTGTTTTATCGTCACCGCTGCCTATCTCGAAAAAAAAAACCATCTTAAAAAATATCTCGACCGGCAAAACCTCATTTTTGGCCCTACGAAATATAAATACATTGAAAACGGGGGTTTTCACATTTTTTTTAAATTGGATGCAACTTTTGGCTGCTTTCTGTAATATTTTCAAGAAATACATGGTAACAGTAGAAAATTTTATTCTTTTTCAAAATACCACCAACACTCTTTAGTCGATTTCCTCACCATTTAAAAAGTTATTTGCAAAAAAGCTAAGCAACCTCCAAATTTATAGTAGTGAGAAAGAAAATACTGACTAAGAGACAGTTTTGTTAAACTTTGTACAACTAAATCTAGACTTCTACAGGACCGATTTTGTTCATTAATTGGTCATTGGAAAGCCTAATTTGCAAATAGTTATAAATTTGATTTTATTAAATATTTGTGGTAAAAAAAAAAAAAAAAAAAAAAAAAAACACTACCTAACAACTTCTTTTTTCAAGTTTCTATTTGTAGCCAACTTTTGGCTGTCTCTATTAGGTATTTCCAAAAAATATATAGTAGTTATTTGTAGGAAATTTCATTCACTCTCAGAATATCACATCCACCTTGGTCGATTTCCCCACTATTTAAAAGGTATTAGCAAATAATCTAAGCGACCTCCAAATTTATAGTTGTTAGAAAATACTGAATTAGAGATATATTCTTTTTACTTTTTACAACTAAATACAGACTTCTACTGGACCAATTTGGTTATTTAATGAGTTGTTGGAAAGCCTAATTCGTGTAGATTTGCAAATAATTATGAAAGTTTGAATTGATGGGCTATTAACAGTCCTCTAGGAGTCCTGTCTAAGAAACATGTCGGCCTTAGTCAGTAAAGACTAAAATATCGCACCACTGACTTTTACACTAATCTCCATTCATACTTGGCTTAAAATACCTAACTTTGAATGGTCGCCGTTTCAATTGAAAAGTATTTAAAAAAAGTACTAAACACATTAGTTGTACAGATAATTTTTAAAGCTAAAAATTATAGCGGTAACACTGGAATTGGCGCACGGGAGGGACTAAGGCTAAAGGTGTAGTGACGTCATATCTCTAGTGGCTCATGTCTTCTCTTGAGGCAACACGATTACCGTAACGAGACAACGAAATTTCAGCGGCGTTCGTGGCATAGGTGGTAGCGTTTCGGATTGATGTTTAGGAGGTCCCGGGTTCGAAACCTGCCGGGGACATTTAACTTTTTGTCAACGATTTTTGCTTAGAATGTGAATACTTCTTAACTGTACATCTTTTGTTAGAATTTGATGCATTTATAATTTTATTTATGAACAGAACTTTTTTTTAAATATTGAACCTTTATTCGATTTTTATCTTATATCTTTTTTATAGTATCAGCAAGTTTGGTTGGTTAGGTTAGTTTATGACAGTTTAATTTTATAATTTTACTAATTAAAAAGTTAATTTTATAACTAAAAATTTAAAAAATTAATTTAAATTTATTCAACTTAGCGGTTCTAGCGGCGAACGCTGACACTACAAGATATGTTAGCCTTAGTCCCTCCCGTGTGTCCCACCGCGCTAACACCTGTCTAACGTATTAAAAAGTGGTTGATTTTGTGCTATTACTTTAGTACACCACTTTCACGGAATATTAATGATCAATGGCATGGACTCCTGAGAAACTCCACTAGAAGTGTTACAGAATATTACATTCTGATTTTTTATGTATTGCTTGACAATAATTCTTTGTTTTAACTTATTTTTCCAATTATAACTATGAATAAAATTTGTGCTTACGGCATTTAAGGGCCATTGTATACGGCGTTACTTTTCCAGCCGGTAGAGTTTTGTGTGCTCCGTGCATCAATAACCATCTCGTGAGGGTGACATGACCAGCCCTAGCTGCACAATGTAGAGCTGTGAGCCCGACCTTATTGGGCGCACTCAACGAGCAACCTAAATAAATATCAACAATTCATTGGATGACATTAATTATTGACAGTGGAATAACAATGATTATCAATATTGTTATTGGTTGCACTTACATGGTTAGCGTGTAGTGAGTGACTTGCTTTTTGTTGTGGTGTAGGTTGGTAGTAAAATTTCCCCGTAAAATCCCCATCTGGCAAGCTTAAAAATCAATTTGCTGTCCTGGTTTTTCCCCTCCAATCAGTAATACAATGGGACCGGCTACGTTCCAAGCAGTGCAGCTATCTGTGGGTGCTTTAGCGAACTACGTTGACTCTCGTAGAGCAGAATATCACCGCACATTATTTGCTATTCGTCAGACCGAAATTTGAAAGCCAATCACCCGGCTATCTGGTTTGTTTGATGCTGCGGGCGCACTGGGGTTATGCCTGCCATTTGATGGGCCACAGCAAACAGTGGCGTCATTTCACCAAATCCTTGGGGGGGGGGCAAACACCGGGGGGTATGGAATACCCCCCAGCAAACAAGGGGGGTCCGGGGAAAATTTTGCAGTTTTGAAACAAAAAAAGAGGGGTTTAAGCTTATTTTAATTGTCAAAAGCACTTCAAATAAAAAAAAAATTATGAGTAAAATTATTTAAATTTAGGCAGAAGTTCATGAAACTAAGAATTATTGACAACAGACAGAAACACAATAATTTTATGTTGGTAAGTTAGTCATCTAAGAAACATGATCAATAGTTCCATGATGTATTAATATTATGTTTGTTATTATAGATTCATGACCAATTTCTCTTGTACAACATTTAGCAATGAATACGGTTGTTCATAGCCTATAGTTTATAACAGTTTATTTTGGTTTTTAAATAAAATACAAGTATTTAAGAACTTAAAAGCAAATCAAATTGTATCACCAATAAAATAATTTGACACAAAAGTACAAAAGGCTATTTAACTATATTAAATTGGTTGTCTACAATGTTCAAAATAAATTACGTAAAATTTATACACATGTATAATTTTAATGCTTGAATAATTAATAAAAGTAGCCTAAATAACAAAGCAATGCTTCGAAAATATCTGAATTTTTATGTATATATATAAACTAGAAGCAAGTGGTTTATCGTACAGCACCAAACAGAAAAAGTTAATGAATAACAAAGCTACTAATTTATGTAAACTCAAAATGTGCTATCTAAGACAATAAAACAATAATAATTTTTGTTTCAAATTACTGTACAAGAATATACTGATTTTTATCTGCTGTGCTTTTTAGGATTTGACAGGAGAAAATATTTGTATATTGGCTAACAGCATATTTTTTTCTCTAGCCCAGGATCCAGGGGGGGTAAATGCCCCCCCTGTCCCCCCCGACAGCAAACGTGTTAAACAAATAAAAACCATTGATTTACAATTATTTTTTGTATACTATAAAAAGGCTTTATTTGATACATTATAGATCATGAAATGGCATTAAATAAAGTCTTTGACAATTAACTCTTAAAACACTTACGTTTAAACCTTTTCTAAATAAGTTAAACAAATAGATTTTTTTCTTCTTCAGATTGTTTGGCTTTGGGTTTGGTGTTCTTGAGTCATCTGCTACATCGAGACATCTGCCATGTCTTTAGGCATAGAATGGCGACCATGCTGAAGTAGCGTAGTTTGCCAAATTTTGGCAAAATTTAGTTTAATTGTTGTATTTATTTAGACCTACGGTAACAACATTTTGATGTCATACATAAAATTCTTTTAAATTGTTTTTTGTACAACATCGCTTTGTATGCACGGAAAAAAATATTTCTTTATTTACAAACAAATTTGTTTCAACAGCTTTTATTAAATTTCCAATTTTGTCCAAAACCAGTGCCGTAACGGCGTTCCGGTGTGTTCCGGCACCATGACACCCCTGGTACTGAAAGTTTTTTAAACTGTAAACAAATGGAGAACCTTCAATTGAGTTGTACTTTTAAACTTGTCAAGGTGTCAACCCCTCTTTGATGATCAATTGTTTATACAAATTACTCCAGATTTCCCATCAAAAGTTAGAACGAATAGATTTTGTGAGTTAGCACTGCAATATTTCTAAATCAAGCTCAATAAAAAAAAAAATTAAAGCAAATTCTAATATTTGGTTTCATTTAACATCTACTTTTTGGCTGGCAAAAACTGTATAAATTGTTAGAATACTGGAATCATTTACCTGCACTATACAATAGGTTTAGCACGGAGGGGTTCCATTTTTGGCTCTTCAGGACTCTGTATGCAGCTAGATAAACAGGAGACTCTCGACTACTTGTACAGCTGTGCAGGTTAGCTCCTGGTAAGAGTTATGAAAATATATATAATCAATAGTATGGAAAAAACCCCGGGTGTTAATCAAGTTTCAAGATTGATTATTTTCTGCGTAACGAAGCGCTTCCAGACCTGTCAATTAACACTGGCTGGGCGGAGGATAGTCTCAGGTAAGTGATCAAAACCTTCCCGGTTGCCAGTTAGAGTGAAAGTATCACCCACAAAGTTAGAGTGGGTTTTGTGATCAAGTTTGAGACATTTTGAGAATGAAAATTCAGCATTTGAAGGAACAGCGTTATTTCACAAAATTCTGTGAAGAATGTTGTGGAAACGCCTAAGTTTATTCAACAGGCCTACAAAGAAAGACCCCATGTCTCATGTCATTCTTTTTATTTGGCACATGCCGTTCAAAGATGACCATGAAGACGTCAAAGACGATGATCGAGCTAGAAGGCCTGAAATATCGCGGAACCTAGAAATTCTGGCCAAAGTGCAGAAGCTTTGAACAGTGACTGACGCTTAAACATTAGACTCATTGCAGATAGAATGCAGTACAAGTTTGGACCAAGAAGGTTCATGAATAGAGAGAAGAAGTAAAATTGTAACTTCAAACGTCAACTTATCCGCTGTTATAATTATTATCATAGCTATTTCGCTTCTGAAAGGGTTTAGAACACCCATATATTTGCAAAAAAATTGGTTGATATAAAACAAAATTGAAAAATGTTACACACTTTTAAATACCTACATAATAAGTTATTTTTAGTTTTATCTTTGACTGTTAGGGTAAAGTTAGACATTTCTTACCATGCATGATCATGTATCTGATCAGTACTGCGTTTCCACTCCAGCAAGCTCTCTGTAAACCGAATACTAAAATCAATCTCTTATATTTATAAACAACACTTATTTCTGCATATCGTGATATCAATTTGGCCACTTTACTGATGAACTTAATATTATAAACTTTGAAGATAAAGTACACTTTGTTTCCTAACTTTCCTACTCATGCCTAAAAATTTAAAAACCCAAATGTGTTAAAACCCAAAAGTGTTATAAAAGCAAAATAAAATTTTGAATAAATAATCCTAAAGGGAATTATTTCTATCTAAACTTAACGGGGAGTAAAAATTAGATTCTTCCAGAACTTCAAACAGAGCTCTCTACCAGCTTATAGCATTCTGCCACTGCACACAATTTCACTACCTACTGTTAAATTTTGGCATACACATCTAGTAGGACTTTATAGAAAACTCATTAAGACAGAAAAAATAAAAAAAAAACTTGTGCAAATTTATAAAAATAAATATTTACACCTATTATGTACTTTATTTTGATGTTATAAATAATGAAGAAAAGAACTTTGTTCACTTAATTAAGATGTTTAAAGTGTTTCTTGACTAAAACATGTAGTTTTTATTAGGCCACTTTATTGAAAGTCGTAGAGCTCAAAGTTTGAAAATCATACATAAGCAGCAAGGACATCCTGTAAATACCATCTAGGAAGGTGCTTTAAAGTTGATAAAGTTAAAAGTAAAATAGAAAAGGTTATGAGTTATACCATTGTTATACTTACAAGGAAAGGAGTGTAGTTGTAAGGAGGCTTTGGATGGTTGATAAAGTGGGGAAACTGATTGAGAATGGCAATGCACCTCTTGATGGATTCAGTGGAGGGATTTAGAGTCTAAAGAGTAAAACAATCTGGTGAAATAAAATGTAAAATTTTACTTGCATTGTATACAACAGGTATAAGAAATAAAATGTTTCACTGCACCAAACTCAACTGAACAGAGTACCTACCAAAATCATATAAAGCTTATAGTCACTAACAAGACTACAAGATCACTCCACTCATCCTACACTCATATATGGGTTAAAATATGCAAATAGTCGCATCCCCATCTTAAATAATTGACAATTGAAGGTAGAATAGAAAAAATAAGCTTTTGTTTTTATAGTAAACAGTCTCTATACAGAGTCTAAAAAGAATTTTTCACAGGTTTGCCAAAGTAAAAAAAATCTGTTTATTTGAGCTGTAGTCTATATATTTCCTACCATCTTGTTCAATATACTTAAATTCCTTTAAAATAGAATTTTGGTGGTTTGTTTGATAAAATATTTTACTGTGGGTTTGCATCAGGCCCGTTTTTGACCCTGTCAGCGCCCTAGGCACAACTAATAGTGGCACCCCTATGCAATATATAAATAAATAAATAAAAATGTCTTTATCAAGCGTTTCTCTGGTACCTACACCAGCTTTTCAGAACAATTTTCGTCACTATGCTAAATATCTTATTCTACTATTTGGCCGTTATAAACTTAGACTATACAATAACTAGTGGCTTGTAGGGGCAATAGTCCCTTATATATATATTCTAGTAATTATTTTGTAAAAAATATTAGCCTGTTGTTCTCATTTCGAGGAACAATACCTCTGCGCGGTAGTCTCCTGTCATTATACATTATTACTGTGCAAAAGAACAATCCATTGTAAAGTGTTAAGTTTAAAAGTAGGGTATCAAATTGTTTGTTCTAAAGATTTCATCTAATTTTCATTTTGTGTTGTTTACTACTTCACTAACAATTTAACAATAAGAAAATAATGCACATTTACAGTCGAGTCGGGACCATGAAAGTTTGCAGTTGGCGGCAGCCAATCACAAGACAAGGCTAGTGCGACGTTGCCATATCGCCCGTTGACGACACTTATTAAAATACAAAAAAATATTTTCAAATCAGCTGGTATTATTAGATTTGGCAACACCACACTGTCCTCATTGGCTCCTTTGAAGTCACTTGGTAAATAGGCTCCTCCTTCAACTGCAAACTTTCGTGGTCCCAACTTTAGGTGTGTGGTTATACTTTTTTTCAATTTTTATAATCACAGCTGTGTTTACACTAAATAAAAATACATAAAATTAGATTACCATGCTATTCAAATGTGAATAATTATTTTATTTTGTAACAACCTTTTGGTCCATAATTAAGAAAAATTAATAATTTCCCCCAAAATGTCATACCCAGACCTTTAAAATGAGACATCTCTCAGCTTTCAACGGCATCCCGTTCGCTCACAATTTCATTGTAAAATTTTGGGCTTATGGAATTAGATATATAGATTACAAATGTTTTTAAAACATATCCTTAAGTTTTTCTTTTAAATGTTTTGCTAGATGCAACAACCTTCAGGCCGCCGGGTAGACCATTGTACGAGGGACCAAAATATGAGAAGCTCTTCCTCCCAAGCTCTAGAGAAACTCTTGGGAGGTGAAGCCTCCCACCATGACGTGTCCTGCACTGGGAAACCTCGTTCGAAGAGAAAGCCTCTCGCGTAAATAGTCGGGCTTACAAAGAGACAACACTCTGTGGGTCATGCAGCACGTCAAAAACCTGCTCATGGCTTCAACGGGAAGCAGACTAGCTACTTCTCAAAAGGGAGAGACATGATCAAATTTTTTCAAACAGAAAATGAAACGGATTGTGGAGTTTTGGAGACGTTGCAACTGATACATGTCTTCCCGAGAAATGCTGTTGCCATATGCAGGGAAGCAGTAGTAAAATACTGACAGTATTAGTGACTGCACGAGCTGAAGTTTTGCTGCCTCAGGCAACAAGCCTCTGACAACAATCCTCTTAGTCTCCCTAAGGCTCGCTGGGAAACAAAGGTGACATGATCTAGAAATTCAGGTGCCCGTCAATCACGACGCCAAGAGTCTTTGCCTTCTCACACACTACCAGAATCCGGCCGTCGAGACAGACAGACACTCCAACATCTCTCAAGGTCTGCACTTGGTCCAGAGGCGCTGTATGCAAAACAGTGCACTTATCAGGGTTCAGTTTGAGCCCATTGACAAATAACCACTTGGAGATGCTCATATATATCAGGGTGTCCACCAACCGGAAAATCCGGGAATCATGCATGAGTTGTTTGTAAGTCAACGGTGGCAGCCATTAATGAGCTTTTATCATGTGTAACTCTTTACCTGAAGGGAATATCCAAAATTGTTAGTATTTGTAAACAACAGAAAACTATGATGTTGATCAGTGGCGGATCTATGGAGGAGGGCTAAGGGGGCCTTGTAGCTCCCCCCCCCCCCCCCACTAAACTCAAACTAGATAATACGGGAAAAATCCTAGATATAACCAGATTAATTTATCAGATTCATACCAATAATTTATTAAGACTCTTGTTTTACTTTTTACTGCTACCGTACTGTACTAGCTAGTAAGCATACTGTTTTTTTATCAAGTCCATCATTTATATAAGCTATGTATCAACAAACTTATTCATAAACTTTATTAAAAAAGTGAACATGGCCTGTTTTTGGAACTAACTTTTTAATCGGGAAAAGTTTTGATTATTTCCAATATCTGCTAAAAACTGTTGACAGTTGAATTGTTATAACGTGTGTTACAAGCAAACCTTAACCTTATTAAAAAATTGCCAATACACTTTTGTATGGTTTTGCAATTGAGACAACTAACAAATTCCTTAATTCTTATCCTACTGTGTATTATTACATGGGTTATGTGTTAACAATTAAACAATATTTATTTTACAATTGAGCAGCACTGATTACTTAAAAGCTATCTCAATGTGTAGGCCTGTGTACAGTTTTCTTCCCAACAATTAAAACTGTTTCAACTATCAAAACTACTTTACTCCATTCACAAAATTTATGCGGTTTTTGGGGAAGAAATCTATCCCCTCCACTTGATCCTACCTTTAAAACTAGGGGTCGATGGCTAGGTTTGCCAAAACGTCAATCAGATAAAACATATTCATTAACCAAAACAGTAGTGGGGAATCTTCCCCTCAAACCCCTAAATTTTGTGAATGGACTATAACGACTAAGACTACAGTAATTGAAAAAGTCCTCAATCTTGTAACAACATTTATCACACAAAAATTTGTACGAAAGTAGCAATGAAAATAAACAACTCACCCCAGCAATGTGATGAACCTCGTAGCAGTACTTCTTCAAGCTTTCACCAGGGTCTGCAAGAAGAATAAATATAATAATAAAATAACTTTCATTTTGACCAGAAAATTTCACGTCATTTGTAAGTTAGTAACGCCACATATCGAAGATAAAATGATTCAGGAATAAGTTTGCTATCACGAGTGTGTGTAGGCCTATTACAGAAACGGTTTTTTGTTTGTGTTTTTAACCTCCATTAGCAGTTTTTTTTTTTTTTTTGTAGGAGAATGGTTAAAATAGCAACCTTTTGTTAAATAGCATCATTAGGCCTAGAGGTGTATTCACACATATAAGTTCCGGCATGTCACAGTTCAGTTACATCAGTCGTGTCACAGTAAAAAGATTTGGTCTATAATGGATTATTCTTTTGCACTATCTACATTCATCCGGCACAGGTCCGTCAGTCAGTAAATTTAAGATTTCTTCCCACTGATATTTTGGATTGTTCGGACGCTTAATTGACGGTCGTGTAATATGTATGTGTTTGACATATGATTGATAAGTTTACATTATACATTATTATAGTAGTTTTCATTATAGATCTTTACTTTACTTTCTCGTGTCATCCTAAAATGATGAAGGAACTGAGTTTAGCCTTCAATTAGTATAAACAAGCTTTACTGTTTAACAATTACTGTAAAGTGATAGAAGAGTGACTGAAACCAACTGATGAACAGTTGCCTGACAAATTTCGGTGCAACTGAGACTGGACTTATGTGTGTGAATTGAACCGATGACAATGATCAACCCTGCTTCCAGGTTGGAACAAACAACTTACCTAACCTTTTGCATTTGAAGGAGGCTAACTATAAGACGCAAAATACATTGAAACTTGTCCCTCAATATCCGTCCAGGCTGCTAGTGCTAGAGTATTCAGTTTGGTTTTGTATTCATAAGCCCATATGTAGGCATACTCTACAAGACTAAAAGCTAGTTTTTGGAATCCAACAATCCTGCATGTTAATTAATAAATTCCAATTAGTTTAAGTGGTCCCTTTTTATGGTTAAGAGTCTTAATAATGTTTGGTGAATTCCAAGCACATTCCGCAGACATTATGAACATGGATCTCAGTTTGAGCATACTTGACATAAAGAATAGCCTGTGGAGCTCGTCATCCACATCCCGCCAAAAAGTATGATTAGGTTTAACCATTGACAAGTCGTAGATGTGTGGTCTCACACATGTACAGAAGCGAGTCACGAGGACCAGGATCGGAGTCAGTGGAGAACTACAGGATGACATGGGGGGGGGGGGGGGGTAAGGCCCGGGTGAGGTATGGCGCTTAAATCAATCAAATTAACTTAACTTATTGTAAAATTTCCATATTGTTTTTGAAGAATAAAAAAATATATATAATATTCCATCAATATTTAAAAAATGAAATAGTCATAAAAGTGTTAAAAGAATCATGTAAAATCGTTCAAAATCATTTATAAGGACAACGTTATTAATCTAAGTTACATATTATCTATATCATAAATTTAAGGTTTTCTTTTACTGTGTCTAATAGGCTAAGTTTATTAATAAACTCAGTTTTCAAAATAAATAGCCTAATAATCAGCCACAACTAAACTTATTTATAAAGTCAGTTTAAATTTCAGTGTCGGCATTTCAGATATCAATATTACTTTAATTCATCATTCACGTTGTGTCTGGTTAACAACTATGGTCCTTTGGATAATATGTTGATTGAAAATTAATAATTCCATAGTAATGATTTAGTTAATCAAACCTATGGCTTCTTGGGCCTGTGATTCGCCGTTAGCTGTGTGCTCTGATTTTATTGAAGGATCCATGCCCATTTCCAACTTGAATGGTTTAACTTAAGAGAATGTGATTGCATCCATCAAACAGCCAGACGGCCACAAGCCATTTTCACAGTAGGCTACCTATTCTATCTGTATTATCGTCATCCTTGCAAAAACTTGTTATTTAGACAACCAATTTTTATTTTGTAGTCAGGTATTTTTGGTAATCCTTCCATCATTTTCTCAGATAAAAAGAACTTGGACAATTTTTTTTTTGTGTTAGCCTACTCTTTTTTCTCGTAGGCGTTCGTTTTCTATTCTCCGATATATTTTGCCACATCATGTGGTATGTTCTTCTATTAAAACACTATATGACATTGTTTATATTATTTTGCCTAGGGTAGTAAACTGGATAGGTACACTGGCTATACAGTTTTAAGTATAGGGGTAATATAAGAACATTCCCTGAAGGTGTCACATTTCATGGACCAATTATGTGTTGTTAACTAAAATAAAATTTTCAGTATATACAAAAAAGGGTAGGCCTGATTCTAAAATTTGTTTATGATCGGCTCCATCAAACCACACGACGTCCCTGATTGTAAACTTTTTGTTTAGTGTGCAGGATTATTTCAAATTTGATACAGATTTCTCATTAAAAGATTATTAACTAACTTTTTTTTTAACATTTATTTCATTTATTTCCCAACGGATTGCACCTTTTTACAAAATATGTGTATACAATTTAGATGGCATTTGCAATATTACTGACTAGAAAAGTAATAACAATGGAAATAACAAAGTGATAATAAATAGTAATAGCAAGTAATAACAAATAGTGATAACAATAGTAATAACAAATAGTGATAACAATAGTAATAACAAAGTAATAACAAATATTAATAACAGAAGAATAAACTAAAAAGAGTATCAACAAAGAATATGAACAGCAAGTTTTAACGATGAGAAGACAAATGTGCAGATGTGCTGGAGTGTGGTTGCTCAAGTGATCAGGGAGACCTTCTTTTTGAACCGGAGGGGCTTCTCACCGAAGAAATCCAGTTGAGCAGCCGCCGTGCTACCAGCCTTGAGTAGACGGCTAATTCCGCTGTTGTAAGAGTAGTAGGCTGGGAGAAAGCGTCTGCTGAATATAGTCCTGGAGCGGGTGCCTCTGGGCGTGGTAATGTCGATACCACTCAGGATGTTGGGGCAATCGACAAACCCGTTAACCAGCTTGTAGAGCATGAATATGTCGGCATGATGACGTCGGAGTGACAAAGGCAGAAGATCGAAGGACTTCTCCACATCGTCAACCGGGGTAGTGCGGTAGGTAAAACCAAGTCTCGGTCCAAGCATCCGTATGAAGCGGGTTTGTATGCTCTCCAGTTGGCTGACGTGGTTCTTCTGGAAGGGAGACCAGATGATTGACCCATACTCCATCAGCGGGCGTACCAGGGACTTGTAGAGCGTGATCAAGGTGAAGGGTGAGTTGAAATTCCTTGTTGATCTGAATATGAAACCAAGCAGGGAGCTAGCTTTGGTTGTAATGTGGGCAATGTGCTCGTGAGGGTTGAGCGAAGGGGTCATTGTCACTCCGAGATCTCGTACCCTGTCCACTCTCTTCAGTGTAGAACCATTGAGGACGTAGTCATATTGGACTGGGGCTGCACCACGTTTGTAGGAGATGACGACACATTTCAAGACGTTGAGCTCCATGAAGTTTTCCTTGCACCAGGCGTCGATGTTAGTGAGAGAAAGTTGGAGGCGCTCAAAGTCAGAAGCCAATGACACCGAGCCAAATACCTTAATATCATCGGCGAACATGAGAAATTTGGTGAGGATGACGTTGCCAATGTCATTCATGAACAGGTTAAACAGCAAGGGACCGAGGTGGGACCCTTGCGGGACTCCAGATAGGACACTGAATGGCGTAGAAAGGCACCCGTCGTACTTGACTACAAGGGTTCTGTTGGTCAAGTAGCTGTTTAACCACTCAAGCAGGGCCCCCCCCACACCATATCCGGCAAGCTTTGCCACAAGGATGTTGTGATTGACCTTGTCAAAGGCTTTGGAGAGATCAAGGTAAACACAGTCAACTTGGAGAGCATCGCCAAAAGCGGCCATGACGTATTCTTGAAACTCCATCAGGTTTGTTACTGTTGAGCGTGAGCGCAGGAAGCCATGTTGAGAGGAGGAGATACATTTACGGAGATGAAAATAGAGGTAGTCCAAAACAATGCTCTCGTACACCTTGGCAACAGCAGAGAGAATGACAATGGGCCGATAGTTTCTGACATTTGAACGATCACCAGATTTGAAGATGGGGACGACAAAGCCACGCTTAAGGGCCGATGGGAAGATTCCAAGTGAGAGCAGGGATGTAAACCAGATAGCCAGATGAGGAGCCAAAATAGGGGCACAGTATTTAAGAACGCACGGAGGAATAGCATCAGGACCGGCTCCCTTATTAGGGTCAAGCGAGGCAAGTTTGAGTTGAACGTCTGAGGCTGTGATGACACATTTAGTGATGGAGAAGTTCCAGCCAAAGTCGAAGACAGGCGAGGGAATTTGGTTCTCCGTGAAGACGGATGAAAAGTAGTTTGAGAATAGTTCGCACTTTCCGGCAGCACACTCAGCTTCTCTACCATCAAATGATAGTTTAGCAGCAGGGGATGGACTGCTCTTGAGTCTGTTGACGTGAGACCAAAAAGATTTTATGTTATGAGGAATGTCGTCTTCAATTCTTTTTAAGTAGTCTCGATGACACTTGGTGGCTAAAGACTTGCACTGGCTTCTCAAATTGCGAAAACTTTCACGATGACGAAGATTTCCTGAGGTTTTAAGAAGTCGATGGGTGGCCTTCTTCCTTAAGACAAGTCGTTTTAGCTCCTCGGTAAACCAGGCAGGAAAGCTTGAGGATTGAAGCTGTTTTGTGGGTGTATGTTGAGATATGATTGAGCCAAGGTGGTCGCAGAAGTCAGAGAAGGCAGATTCGACATCAGGTAGAGAAGAAGGTGAAGGATAGTTAACGTTCTGCAGATCACGAAATACAGCGTCCAAGTTGCATTTTCTGAAGTCAGGTACAATCCTGACATCCCTCGAGGCTGAGCGTTTCTGCAGCAGGATTGGGCAGGAGAGCGCAGGGTGATGAATGTCTTCGGCAACAAGAAGGTCGTCAGCGCGGATAACTGCAGTTGTAGGAGTAGATGAAAAAATGAGGTCCAGGTAGACACCTCTGCGATTTCGGATTTTGTTGATTTGGGAGAGGTTGTGAGTATAAGCTAAGTTGCGTAGGTAGTTTGAAGAGGAATCGCCTTCGCAGGAATCAAGCTCACCCCAGTCCGCTTCAGGTTTGTTAAAATCACCGAAGATAAGCACATCATCCACGAAGTTAGAAGATGAGAGGATATCCTCCACCACGTCACAGAAGTCGGCATAGACGATGGCAGGCTGGCTGGGGGGGATGTAGACAGAGCCCAACAAGATGCGACGGGTTCCAGAAGTACAGGTAACAAAGACGCATTCCGAGGAGCAGGCATGCAAGGGGACAAGTTGACATGCTAGGTGATCACGTACTGCTATGAGAGTACCACCACCACTGATCTTATTGCTCGTGGCCAAAGATCTGTCACATCTGAAAACGTTAAAACCAGTAAGGCCAAGTTCTGAAGAGTTCATGTCAGGTAAGAGATTCGTTTCAACCAGGGTGATAATATCGTAGGAGGAAGTTGTAGCACTGATTGAGAGTTCAGAAATTTTGCTTCTTAAGCCATTCACATTTTGAAAATAACAACTGAGGTGATGCGGTGCGCCGTTGGGAATTAATCGTTTTTTGAATTTTTAACAATCTGGGGGATGTTGTTTAGGAACCTTATGGTGAGATCCTTTTCGCCACGGGTGGTGCGTTCCTTTAATTCGGCATTGAGGTTTTGAAGGTGGGCGGCTTCACGGGGAGTTCTGTCTCTGGATAGCTTGACGGAAGAAAATCGTGGATTCGAAATGGTCCCAGAGCTGGCAAAATTCTTCATTGCAGTGATCACATCGGAATTGCTGCCAAGCACAACTTTAAGAGGCCGAGGTTTGTCAGGTTTTTTACCACCAACACGGAAAGTTTTGATCCCATTGCTAGAGAAATTAGGAATGAGGGTTGAGAAGAAGGAAATGGCCAATTCCAGATCATGTTTTTTCCTGGCATCAACATCACCCACAGATGATTCTTCCAGATTGTAGATCATTAAGTTTTTAGCGCGGCGGGTGCGCTCGTTTAGCTCAGCTATGGTAGTTTCCAGATCTGTGGAGGGGGATGCATTTTTGTCTTTTGATTCAAGCAGGGATACCCTGACCTCGATTTGATCCACTCTAGGTTCTAGTGCTGACAATCCAGTACGAATGGTAGCAACTTCGTTCTTTATATCAGCTACATCATTTGAAATGGTATCAATTTTATTTACTTTGTCTAGTAGAGTATCAAGTTTGCCCAGTACCGAGGACATTTGGGAGGTGAGTAATGCGAGTGGTTGGTTGGAAGTGTTCACACAATCTGTTCTGGTGCAGTGCCATTTTGCGTTGGTATTTCCAGAAATCCGCTGGTACTCTGTTTTGCTCATAGCAATGCAAGTCCTGTGAAACCATCGTTGACAGGGGCCATCGCAGCTGACGCCTTCCTCGGTATCAAAGACTTTTTTGACGCAAATAGGGCAGGAGGTAGACATGATGTAAGAGAAGAAACACGGCTCCCCAGTGATTCGACACTTGTTATAGTACTGCCTGCGCAGATCTAGAAGGCCGTGGATTTTGGACGTCCAGAGATTCCCCTGTGGCGAGTGGCGACAGGTTTGGTCACAACGAGAACGGTCGAAATGGAACGAAAGATGGGCCTAGGTTTGACGATGGGTTGATGTTTGGATGGTTATTGCAGGGCAGATTGTTAATTACTTGACGAGTCCCATCAACATATAAACTCACTGTAGTTTGTTGTGCAAAACTCCAGCGGAGCCGAGCAGCCAAAACAAGGTAGGTGACAAGAAAATCAAAAATTAAGCGGAGTCATATCACAAGTAACACTTTAAGTCTGCCATCTTGGTTTTTTTTTTTAACTTAATGGAAATGTTTACGCTATGAATAGGTATCTTAAAAATAACCTAAATTCAGGGTTTAAAAAAAATGATGGTGCAAAACTAAATGGTTGTTTTACATTCGTTTCCATGATTTCAAACAGCTGATTCATGCACCAATGGAGGCGTATTTATAAACATGTTTTGACAACGATATTTGAGTGAAAATTTAAAAACGTACGTTTTCAGGAAAAGCACTTTTAAATTTTTTGTTCCGTTTTTTTAAACTTTTTTGTTTTTTTATTTCATTGACATTTTGAAGTTTCATAAAATGACCATGGTAACGCAATATCTTTGGTGATTTTTTATTAATAGAGCATCTTTGATGGAAAAACACGAATTTTTGTCACGACCATCATGGACATAAAACTGAATATTAAAAATAGTTAATATTATTTTTATAACTATGTTTTGCTATAAATTAATTTACTTTTATGGCCATTATACAATAAACAGCTCACTAAGCTTTTGGTATATTTGGTCTTTCTAGAAAAAAAAAATAAAAACTAAAAAAAATTGAAAAAAAGCCAATAAAATCTTTTAAGTTTGTATAACTCCGAAAAAACTTACCTGAGACCCGAAAAATCGCTATGTTTTTATAGAGGTACGCTTCTTTTGTGTATAAAACATTGAAATATGATATTTTAATTTTTGAAATTGTTATGATAGAAATCATAAATGTGATGGTCAGGGACAAGCGGTACGGTCGTGAATTGTCTGAAGTGATCTAAATATTTCTAAACAATCCTTCAATTATACTGATAGTTATAATAAAAATAGGTGTTTCAATTGAACTAAACTGTTCAATTTACAATGATATTTAAGTTATAGTCACGACCAAACACAGTATAATCCATAAGGCTGGATTGGTCGTGAAAAAACCCGCGATGGTCGTGAAACTTTGGTCGTGACATTACGTGTTATTTGGCTCTGTTCTAGCGGTAGCCCTGCACCTCATGTTCGAGGATACAAAATGGACTTCTAGGTTAATCTAGCAATTGAAATATCTCACACCAAAATTACAAAAAACACAAACTTGCCTTTATTGATCTTGTAATTCCTCCTTTCAACTCGAAACGACCGGCACTACAAACTTGACGTACACACTGAACTAGTCTCTAAAACAAACTGACGCAATCGACGCCAGGCTTGCCACTGTCGTGCTCCAAAGTTGAAAATTTTTCCCAAATGGTCGTGACGCCAAATCGAGGGACAGACTTATTTTGTCATGGTAGTCAGTTTGCAATGACAATAAAATTATAATATGCTCCTTTTTTGTAAGTTTAATAACTATTGATGACATAAAAATATGGCTTTATATATTTCGGCATGAATAGTTAGTCTAAAAACAGCGTGAAAGTTGGAAAATGTACCCTAGGGACACGTCATGGTCGTGAATTTCGAGACTTTAAAAATACAAAAAAAATATCTAGAACCTATTTAAAACCAAATAAATGTGTGTTACATGTTGCCCCCGTCCCAAAAAATATTAAAACACATAATAATAAACTACAAATCCAGAATCTACGAAGTAAAAGGCCAGGGACATGAAAACGTACGTTTTTAAATTTTCACACACGTTTCATCTCATTTGCTTAGATGAGTACCACCTACCACAGTCTTCCAACAAATGGTGACTAAAAAACAAGAAAACACATTTTGTTTGGAATTTGCTTGTACTAATGCTATTGTTAGTGTTCAGCGGAACTTTCGGACCAAATTTAGGAAGAAGGCTCCTCGTCGGAACTGCATAGCTCGTTGGATGAGAGGATTCAAGACAACAGGATATTTAGATGCCAGAAATATTTTGGTCAGTCCTCAGACTTAAAACTGCAGTCCACGGTTACAAGCATACTACATCAAGCATTTGAGACTAAATTCGTACAATCTGTAACTTAGTTATTACAAGCATTGAAGCTTACTGACAAGCCAAAAAGGACAGATTTTTGCCAAAATAGCTTTATTCTTGTTGATATTCTTTGATTTTGTTAACATGCTTTGTAATACTCAACAAAGCAAATGAGACCAAAACATTATCTAGCTGTGTCAAAACAAACTTATAAACACCCTTTCCATTGGTGTAACAATTAGCTGTTTGAAATCACGGAAAGACGTAGCGCTAAGTTACCTACCGTTTAGTTTTGCACCATTCTTTTTTAATAACCCTGTTTTTAATTAAAATAGTAGATCCATTATCAATTAAATAGCAACTTAAGATTGATAACAAATACCTACCTTCAACTTTGAAGAACTTCCAACATAAACAGATGACTACAGCTATGATTACCAAAGATATCCACAGCAGGTGCCAAAAAATAATTTCATCACTGGTCTTGAAGGTTGCAAATTTCATTAATATCCAATCCATAGATGCTCTTCCTTTAACTGAAGCTAAAACAGAAAAAGTAACTGTATACCAAGCTTGGTAGGAAAGTTACAGACTTACAGGCCATATGATAAGATGTTTGTTGAACACGCATAAGAATAGTAGGCCTATTTATATTGGTAAGCTAGTGAGAGAATACAAACCTTGTTTTTATTAAATATTACTTTAGGGGAAGTTAGGCCAGTGGTTCCCAAACCTTAAGATATGATGGTGACGGTATTTACTCAGGGGAGGTATAGAAGAGCCTACGATGACAGCTGTGGGCTTCTTATTAGCTCAGGGAACGCTATTACCATAACAACACGGGTTGTGGACATCGGCCTCGGTGGTCCAGTGGTTAGCGTGCCGGGCTGATGTGCTGAAGTTCCCGGGTTCAAATCCCGCTGGTAGCATTAACTTTTTGTCTAAGATTTTTTCATTATCAGCAAGTTTGGTTGGTTCGGTTCGGTCATGACAATTTAATTTTATTATTAAAGTCATTATAAAATTGTAATTGAGCAATTTCTAGTTTTATTTAATAAACATAATTATTTTTTCTATTAGTAAACATTTTTATATTATTTAATTATCAGCAAGTTTGGTTAGTTCGGTTAGGTTATGATAGTTTAATTTTATAATTAAAAAAATTTGAAATAGGCATTTATAATTTTATTTTATGAACTATTTTTGCGATTCTTCATTGCCAAAGTGCTCTCTACTACAGCGCTGTTCACGGAGGAATTTTGAACTAATGCCTCATTCGTACCTCCCCTAAGTCAGACCCTGATGGTGACCCACCTACATTTTGCATTTTCTATTGGCGACCCACTTATTTATTATAATCAATTATATGAGCCTAATTAAGTGTATTGTTTGGTTTCTTCCTGCGACCCACCAATGCATCGCAACCCATAGTTTGAGTTAGGCGATACAAAATTAACCTAGGTACCAGGCTACTTTAAGTGATAAGTTAAAACATGGATGTGTTGCTAGCCTAAAGGTGAAAATTCTGGACTTCAGTGCGGGATGGGCAGGTTTTATTACCGGCACATCCAAGCTCCTAACTTAGGCTAACTTAATTATGGGTTTGGACCGCTTCCCCTTCTAATTTTACTGTTGTCAATGAATTAGATAGGCCTAGCCTATGGGCTAACTTAAGTTAAACCTAATAAATAACGTTACGTAGGCTTAGCTTAGTGTCTTTAATGTGAGGAAAACTTAACAACTTAAAGAAAATAAATAGCATTTAATGTAAGTTCGATCTAAGTTTATTAGGCCTGATTTTTTTCCTTTTTGAGCCAAACTCTGATAAGTTAAGTTCCTACTCCATCAAATAATCAAACTTAACAGTAAGTTAAGTTATCAATTCAATTGATAACTAAAAACGGGTGGACTTTTGTATCTGGCACAAACGACCGAATGATAATATTGATTACCGTATTCACTTGCTCCATTCAATATATCATTTGGTTAGTCAGGTTAACCTTACCTAAACTAGCCAAACGATAGATCGAATAATCGATATATATCCATCAATATTTTCATTCAGTTGTTTGTGCCAACTGATACGGAAGCCTACCCCTAAAAACTCGCCTGAACAAAATCAAACTGCCAAAGGCCTAAAACTCAAAGTTAACTTAAGTTAGGCTACTTACTTATAAAATATAACAATTGATGATTACAATAGAGTCTCTGATATCAAAGTTTTGCCCCGTTGGATGCCTATAGGTCTAAATTTTGGCTTAGCTTCAGTGTGAATTGAGCTAAAATTAAAATTCTGTCATAGGCCTAAGTTTTAAAAGTTAACATAGGCTACCATCTTGACTGGTGTAGGCCTAGGCCTATAGGCCAAATGTAGTTACTAACTTATATTGGTTAAGTTTGAAAAAGGCAAAATATTATTGTACTAACAAAGCCGTAAATCATAAGTTACCTAGGGACCCAAGGCATAGACTTAAGTTAAAACCACTTAAGTTTAATGGTAGTTCATAAATTTCAATTAAGAGTAGCCTAAGTTATGGGTGCAAAATATGTTCCATTGACAACTAAACTTCACTCATATGAGTATTGACGCAATCCACCTGACAGTGTCAGTTCAAGGATAAAGACTTGCAAGTAGGCCTATTACAAGTAAAGTAATAGTTCCGTTAGAAATCTCATTAATCTTTTAGTCTAATGAAGTTCTTAAGTCACAAAGGATTCTAGCCAACTTACCTAAAGTACCACTAATAACCCGGTTTTTTGCATTAATGATAACTTCAAATATATCGAAAAACATATTTTTATGAATTTGATAAATCTCTTAGGCAAAACTAGGCTGTCGCGAGTTAAAACGTACACCTCGGATGAGTTAAGCTTGTTTTAAATAAGTACCCTTTTCCTAAAAAAACAAACTACAGGCCTACTCTATGACTGAGTATGATTCTATTCTAACTCAATTAACTTATATGTCACTTCAATCAGTTTTAATTTTAGTTTTATTTCCAACGTAGGACAACTTCATCCTATTTAGTTTAGTTTCAAGTTTGAGAGTATGATTCTCCCGGATTCCAGTGTGAAGTGATTACGCTCTCCGCCCGCAGTTCCGCTATAGAAAATGAAAACAAGAAAGAATGCTACCGGAAATGAATGGTTTCTTACATTGGCTGTTTCATATTTTGGATAAATAAAACTGGACAGTGCAGCTTCTTTGTTTACTGATTGCTCTGTGGATGCATTGATTATGAGGTTTTCTGTAAAGGTTTATCATGTTACTATTTTAGCAGCGAACATATATTAAATACATTGGAATACAGCTATAACCAATACTAATTTCTTATTGATTTGATTTTAAAAGCATACCAATGTGACAACTCTAAATAATACTCTAATTAAATTAATTTATTTGTCACTGTGGGTTACCGTTGCTGTGCAATGTCGACCTTATGGGCTGATTCATGGCCACATTTAACTCTAGGCCATGGCCTGGGGCCCATTTCATAATAAAGCACAAACTAATATTATTAGTAAATCAGCTGATCACCCAATGCAAATCTAATGGAAATTGTAACTTGTAGTTTATTATGAAATGGGCCCCTGGTAGAATTAGCAACGTTGCAAGTAGTGCATTCAGGGGCCCATTTCATAATAAACTACAAACTAATATTATTAGTAAATCAGCTGATCACCTGGGAGGTGTAAAGAACAACTTCCCAAAATTTTGTTACGATTGGTTGGCTGGTTTGGTACCGCATAAAGGACAAACAACCCACAAACATACATTGCCTTTTTTATATATAGATAGGCCATAGAGGATTGACTGTTAACTAACGCTATAATGTAGCGTTAACCTATCGTTAGATAGTAAAAAATTATTGATTTCGAAGTTAAATAATGGTCTTAGATTAAACATACTCCCGTAGTATTACGAGTAAAAGAACCAAGTAAAATAATCCCTCTTACATAGATTATAGACAGATTTAAACCCCCCATGTGACAGCAAGTAATAAAAGAATCCAACCAACAAAAATTAATAGAGAATACAGAATACAGATTAGAACTTCATGAGTTCTTGGTAAAATATTAAGCTAATTTTACTTTCATGAGACGAGAGAGATAAAAAAAGCTTGTTAATGGCATGGGGCATGGCAGGCAAGGCAAGAGCAAGAGGTTATCCCATGGTTCACTCAATCAAAAACTGAACTCAACAGGAAGGAAATAACAAATATATGCAAACTTAGACTAGGCCATGCCAGAGTGAATAAGTATCTCCATTCTAAGAACATGTACTTTACCCCACTTTGTTTGAAATGCACTAAAGGAGAAGATGAATCATTGCAGCATCTATTTTGGGGCTGCCCAAATTACAATTATTTTAGAGAAACACTCCTTAAAGAAACACTTAGATAGTATGGAAACAACCTACAAGAAACCCTAAAATCTGGAAATGATCACATTTACAAGGAAATAAAAAATTATTTGAAAGAAATAGGAAAAGCAGTCTAAAAAAAAAACAAAGAAACACAAACACTATTAGAATCACATTTATGTTGTCCACTCTTGGGTTTCTTAATCCGTGGCCCTCCTCCCCAGCTCCCCTCTTCTGGGTAGTTAGGGATGCCTGATGGGCCCCTGGCAAAGATCACCTATCTCTACCATCCTAAAGAATCCCTTGAACCTTTAGAAAATCCTATCTTTAAAACATAATTAGGTACATTAACAAAAACTAGAACAATATCAACATGAAACATTGATTGTGCACATATATGTTCAATAACAACAATTTTGTAAAACTAACAAATAACCTTAATTGCAGGATGAATCGGAAGCAACCATAACTCAGTGTACATCAAGGCTGCCTGGTCTATTAAACATTAAACCGAAGCCTGCTAAACAAACTAGAGGACAAAAAAAGAGGTTATCATCATCATCAACCAACATACATCAACGATGAACGTCAGTCGTTTATAACCTCAAATTTTGTAAATTTTAACCTTTCTTCCTTTCTTGTAACTAGCCGATTTGTTACAAATATTGTAGTTTGAAAAACTCGATTGGGAGGGAGTTCCCTGTTGTTAGTTCGAAATGGTTCAAGCTGTTCCTGAAACGATAGACTTCCCCAAAGAAGAGGAAAATATCTTACAACTTTGGAAAAATTTAGATGCATTTAGAGAATGTCTGAAACAATCAAAGGGGAAACCAAGGTACAGCATACTTTCCCTTTTATGGTAACTAGGCTATTATGAGAATATTGATCTATTGAGTGGGTTCAATTCGGTGGTCGGTCAATTACTTTTTTTTGTAATTATTTAAGTAATAGGCCTAAGTTATGTGTACAAGGCGATATCGTGTAATGTTTTGATGCATTTTTTTAGGCCTACTTAGGCCTAAAGTTTTTTCACACTCAATCCCAAAATGCGGCTGCACTTTACTTGACGTCCTACACTCATTCGAATGAAAATATCGATCAATCGATTGCATCATTCGATATATCGTTTGGTTAGTTAGGTAAGGTTAACCTAACATAACTAACCAAACGATATATCGAATGAAACAATCGAATGAAAATATTGAATCGAAAAACCAATCGAATGAGTGTAGGACGTCAAGTAAAGTGCAGCCCAAAATGCAATGAGCTTTTGACTAGAGTCTAAACCTTCGCTAAATCATCACGATGTTGTCCCCTTGCACTGCGGAGTGGGGGAAGCAAAGCATTCTATTGGCTGAGGGAACACCATTACCGCAACGATACGGTTTGTAGACACCGGCCTCGGTGGTCTAATGGATAACGTGCCGGGCTGAGGATCTGAAGGTACCAGGTTCGAATCCTCTCGGTACCACTAACTTTTTGTCTAAGATTTTTGCATTATCAGCAAGTTTGGTTAGTTTGGTTAGGTTATGACAGTTTAATTTGTTAATTAAAACATTATAAAATTCAATTTGAGCTATTATAATTTTAGAACTATTTTTTTTCTATTAGGAAAACCTTGTTCGATTTTTCATTATCAGCAAGTTTGGTTGGTTTGGTTAGGTTATGACAGTTTAATTTTATAGGTAATTAATAAATTCTAAAATTGAATTCAAGGCATTTATAATTTTATTTTATGAACAGAACTATTTTTTCGATTAGTAAACCTTCATTCGATTATTATTTTATATATTTTTTTATATAATCAGCATGTTTGGTTGGTTAGGTTAGTTTATGACAGTTTAATTTTATAAATATTCATTTTTTAACTTATTGAAAAACTACAGCATAAGGTATATGATATGCATGTAAAACAACGCGGGCTTGTTTGGACGCCGTCTAGAGGGGAGGTGGAGGGAGAATCATTTCCCCCACTCCGCAGCGCCAGGGGACAACATCGTGATGATTTAGCGAAGGTTTAGACTCCAGTTGAGCTTTTGTCGGAGAGATTTAGCCTAAGTGATTGTACAATTAGGCCTAATTAAATATCAAGCTTCAGTTTCATTGAATTTATTTAGATATTTGTGGTTTGGATGGGTCCAAGTTATATAGGCGACTAACACTGAAAGGGGAGGAAGGTTTGTGGAGTGGAAACAGCTGTTAGTTGTTTACATTCGATACTAAACAGACAAAGCAGCACACAACGACATGAGAGTAAAGTCAGAAAAGGCCTAACTTACAACATGCAATAATTTGATTTGTAAAAGCAAATGAAGTTTGCTGCCGTTCAGAAAATAAAATAAATCAACTACATCAACATAAATTATTCATAAAATAAGTTAGGGCCTAGAATTTATTCCGTATCAGTACAAGCTAGGCCACTGCCGACCAGTGTTGCCAGGTGTACGATAATTATCGTATTTGTACGATTATTTTGCTCCTTCCCCATAAAAAATAATTTTGAAAAATTGTACGATAATTTTGACGTTGTGTAACTACTCTCTATAGGAGAATTTTGAGAGAAGTTGGCCGCCATTTGTACTAGGGGTAGGCTAGATTACGCTTTACCTTCAATTAATTATTGTACTCAGTACATTGGCAGTAGGGAAATGGAATGAAATGAACTATGAGCTGGTTGATTTTTCCAGTTGAGAACCAAAATACCATAATTTTACAGCGTTTCAATTTTTTTCTAGCAGAGATGCAGATTCCGTGTGTGTGTGTGTGTGTGTGATAATGTGCTGCCTAAGGTAGAATTTATATTTTTCTAGCTCAGTGGTAGGCTGGTAGAGCAAAAACGGTGGAGGGCAGAGACAAATAGAGTAAAATTTCGTCCATTCCATCATCGACTTGCTTGTTTTACATTATAATATAAAAGAAAATTGTGTGTACGATAATTTTGCCCCAAATACAATGATTTTGGACTGCTTGTACGAAAATTTACGCCGGCCAATCTGGCAACACTGCTGCCGACACTATCGTCCTCATTTCTACCCTCAACGTCTGTTAATGAACGTGCCATAGTGCATAATACCATGGTACATAATCCCATTGTGCTTAAAAGTGAAAACGTGCTAAAGTGCATAATTTCATGTATCAGCAACTAATAAATGATATTACATGTGTAAAAAGTAAACCCCAACAATGAGATTCCATGCTTGATACCTAATAATGTTTTCTTTAGCCCTGCAGTAAAGAAGTAATAATTGAAACCCTTTTATATTACATTAAGCTCAGCTAATCTAATCTAACCTAACCTATCCCAACCCAACCTGAATATTAATTTTTAAATCACATTTTATGTCACAAAAGGCATGTGAGGAAGATAGGTTGGACATTATGCGGATTCGTGGACTGTATTAAGTCCTTTGAAGTGAGATTAGATGAGGTAAGTTAAAGGTTAGAATGAACAGACTCATAATAATTTATGCTACTCCCAAACCGTTTTTGCACAATTGAAATAGTGGGTGAAACACAATGAAAGATACAGTTGTTTCATTGTGTTTCACCCACTATTTAATTTTGCAAAAATAGTCTGTAACTTAAGTAGCATAAATTAATGTGTCGGTTCATTATAACCTAACCTCACTTAAAAACACTTAATACAGTCACGAATCCGCACAAAACCCGACTTACCTTCCCTACATGCCTAAATAAGAGCTGATTATTTGGTTTCAAAACAAATTGGTTTAATTCCGCATTAAGTCGAGCATAAACAGCTGTTTGCTCTTCTCAGTCCACATACGGACCCGTCCAGACCACACCATATTACCATCAGTACCACTTAATGAACCCTAGATTTGTAATTTTAACCTTAGTTTAACAGCCACTTAGGAATCTCTCTGACAAAAACTGATTGTATTTTCGGATTCGATCCGCGTGAAAAAAACTGTTAGTAGACATCTAAAAACTACATGATATCGCGTTGTAGACATAAATAATTACGGTTTTTTAAAATATAAGTTGCAGTCACCCAGTTGGTCCCTAAATTATCCTTAGTCAACTTAATGATCATTCAAGGTTTAACTAATCTACTGCTCCTAAACAAGCCTAATTCCCTTTGTCAACCTATCATTCGCAATAGTTTCAAGGTAAAAGTAATTTATTTTCCAATTTCCATAGACCTACTTCAGGGCTACCCAAGTAATCATTCATACGCGTGATTGCTAGGTTAAGAGAGGTTACATCTTAAACATAATTACTTCCGACACTTTTACAGATATTCATTCTATGATGGACCTCCATTTGCTACGGGGCTCCCTCATTATGGACACATCCTTGCTGGAGCCATCAAAGATGTTGTTACGAGATATGCTCATCAAAGTGGGTTCCATGTGGAGAGAAGGTTTGGATGGGACTGTCATGGTCTGCCTGTTGTGAGTTAAACATTATTTAAAGTTGGCTAACTTAACTTAGACTGTTAACATTTAAATGCTACAGAATGTAGCCTACTGTTTCCAAAATATAGGCCTAGGCCTAAGTTACATTTTACTGTAATTTAATCCGACTGAAATGCTGAGTAGTGTAGTTGAGAGAGTTCCACCCGCTGGCTGATTACCGCATAGACATGGTCCAAGTGTTTATCGAGTTGAAATAAACTGTAAAATATTTACAAAGATCCAGACCATGCACCGAATAAACTGAAACTCTGTAATTGTTTCTTTAAGTATTTACAAAATCATTTTGAAAATCCGTAAATTAGTCTTTTTACATGTAATTTTAACATCCAAATAATAGTTAAAAATTAATATTTCACCATCCATTGCAAGCTCTGATAAGACAATATAGGCTAAGCAATTAGACAATAAGACATTTTATTGACCCTTAAGTAATTACAATAACAATGGGTCTTGTCAATTTTATAATACATAGCAAAATAAGAAATTATATCGCGAGTTAGGTACGGTGTGGTATTGGCTTATGGACCAATACATTAAACAACAACAACAATGATTAAACATGAATCATAAATAATTTAAGGACAAAACAATTAATACACATTTCAGAACAAAAAAACAACAAAATACCCCCGCAGCAAACCTGCAGACTAAGCGAATTTCAACTTGTCTGATTACATTTATACTCAAATATTTCCATAAACAAGACATATTTATTCCCTATTTAAATAACATTGGATTTAACAAGTGCTTAGGTTTGCTGCTACGGGGAAGGTAAAAAGTGTTTTTTTACCATACGGTACGTAAATAGTAAGGGATGAAATAAATAAATTTTCCAAATTTTATCAATATATATCCATAAACAAGTAAACTACAACAATTTTTATTTTCTCCATAAGAATAACATGGGAATCTATAATATTAAAACGAAACAGGGCTTTTTTATTTCACGATTCTGAATCAACCACTTGACGGATTTTCATGATTTTTTTGTTGAAAGAAAGATAATTTTAAGAACTAGGGAATGTCGAAGCCATAATTTTAGTTTAGGGTTTCAGTTTTTTAGAAATTAAGTTTTAATTTTTAAAAAGTCTAGCAGCCGACGCTAGCAATTTAAAGTATTTTCAATGCTGGTTTAACTAACAGCTGGTTTATAACTGTCATTGAAATGTTTATGTTACGAGTTGTTTGTTTACAAAAATATTGTTCGTTTGGTTTTTGCTTACATACTATTTCACTTTAAAATGTAGGTAGTTTTCCCCTACCGTGAAGGATCTGCCTTATCAGGAAATGTGTTATTTTAAACTAAACATCTCAAACACTTGCGTTTAATCAAGTTTTGTCGTAAATGCAATCTGTGTAAGTATTTAGTTTATGCATTGCAAATTTCAACTCATATTTGGGAAATATTTTTTCAGCAGTCTATCGCTTAATTGTTTAAGATATAAGTGGTTTACGTGTTGATACTTCTTTTTCTGTATGTTTGAATGTGAGTATGTCGGCATACTAAAATTTTGGTTGGTAATGAAAGCGTCAGTCGGTGTAGTAGGTTTCTATAAAACTGTCAAATAAACTGCAGGGTGCAGCAGAAACCAAAGTCGACTCATACCATACCAACTACCCATGTAGTGCTGATGATTCAGAAACTTGGGCACTGACCAAAGAACCGAAAAACCTTAATGCTGGGTTAGATAATAAAGTGCAGAGAAAATATACAGACCAGTTCAAGATAACGGCCCGGAGGTCGAAATAAAAAAAGAACAGAGAGCTAAGAGAAATGTGTTAACGCCCAAATATAGGGATGCTTTCCAGAAGTAGGTAAAGCTTGGATGGACAGGCTGTGCATAAACTTTTAAAAAGTATATTCCAAGAAGTAAGTTACCACATGATAGACGGGAAATATCAAGTTATGAAATGCATCCTCAGACTGGGATCTAAATTTTGAAGAGGCAGGTGATAGAAGAGAATCCTCATAAAATTTCAGTGGTCACGGAGGTAAGATAAGGAACGGTAAGTACATAAGTAGTACAATATGCAATTGGAGGTGGCATGTAACTACTCTACTCAAAACCAGTGTGAATCGGTCGCCAATCTCACTTCAAGATTTTTCAAATCGACACAAATGCGGTTTTATGTTAAAATTATCGGATTTAAAATGCATATCGCCATATTTTAGGTCTATATTCAAATGGAATAAATAGGTGGTCACGTTACATTTGTGTATAAGGCGATCTTCCCCATTAAAACTGCCAGAATTTGTGTCTATGCGTGTAAACTAGATGTTCTGAATTATTCCCTTTTAGTTGACAACTCGATTCCCGTACGTAGGACGGGCTACCAGCTCGTTTTAAATTAAACTATTTTTGAATTTTCTCCGTGACCGTTAGGCATACAACAGCGCTTCAATAGGATACTAAATTATTTCTTTTTTTAAGCTCTACAAAATGGTTTGGAAAGAAATTGCAACATTTTTTGTTTTTAGGGTAAACAATGGGAAAAACACATTTTTACCCCATAAAACCCCCCATAAACCCCTGTTCCCATGGTCCGATTATGCTGGATCGCGAACTCGTTCGAATAAACGTAGGTTTACACGTTTGTACCAAATTTCATCAAAATCGGATCATTTTTGCTCCAGTTATCGCGCTAACAGACACATATATATGAATTTGAACGGATGGTGTTTTTGGCCTCTAGGGACCTCAAAATGAAAAAAAAAATTGGTCCCACGTCCAGGTCTTACCATGAGTACTACGGTAATAGCTTATTCCCTATATGGGAAATTCGCTAACAAGCCTAAACTACCTATCACATTTCTCGCTCAAAGTATTCCTCCACCAAGCACATAAGATTTTCCTGTAGCCATTTATAAAGTTTAGATAGAAACATTTTATCAGACTTTAAATTGACTAGGCAAGTTGGTAATTTATTTGCCAAGAGCACAACAAGCTTATAATCATTGAAAACAAATAAGTTTTAGAATGTTGACAGCTTTTACAATAGAGGCATGTTCAATCCCGAACTATATTTCAATCCATATAATCTGCCGTCTTTTATTGAAATTCAGGCTGCCAGGTAGAACCCTCTTAAGTAAGATTGTTAGGCTACCTTATTTTTTAGAAGAAGCCTAGAAGTTAGTTAGGCCCTATACAAAATAAAACTGTTTATAACTTCAATGGTAAAATGGTTTTCTAATTCTTGGAGTAAATCTTTGTCAAGCACTTGATGAGATTTAAACAACTTTTCATCATTTGCAGGAATTTGAAATTGATAAAAATCTCGGCATTAAAGGACCAGCAGATGTGGCCAAAATGGGAATTGCAGCTTACAACAATGAATGTCGGAAGATAGTCATGAGATATGCTTCAGAGTGGGAAACAATTGTTACAAGGATCGGGCGATGGATTGGTAAGTAGGCCTAAACTAAAAATTTCATTCATGTTGAAGCCTTCCGGAATTGGTTATCAATTATTACAGGTTATGTACCTTGACTTCCACAATTCCTCAGTCAAACTTCCTATTATCTTGTAAAAAACTTGAAAAAATTTCAGTACATAGGCCTAAATTGATCAAAAACTGTTTACACGGCTGATGCACTAATAGTATTTATTGTTTTGTTACCTATTGTTGATTAGGCCTACTTGTACTTATATTGTTGATGAAATGTTTGCTGTATAGTTCTTATTGTCCTTATGTGTTACATAATCTTACAAATATTTATTAATCATAACTTAATTTTATTATTGTAAATGACATTGTCGTAGAAAAAAAATAGTGTTTGATAGGTTTAAGATAAGCGACTGTATCTATTATCAACATAATACCTTGCTCCTCAGTGGTAATACAATTAGGCCTTAAGTTATTTCCCTTGTTTGGGACTAGCTGTTTGTAGTAATCTAAATACTGTGCTTACCTGCTGTAGTTTACCTGAGGCCCCTTTTATGCACCTGTGGTCGCCACACTGCGGCAGCTGCTGCGATTCTATAAGTACTTTGACTCAAATGGGTGCTTTTATGCACTGCAGTGCGGCCCGCTCTATAGTTGGCCTGCAAGTCCAGTGTTTTGGACCTAGGAAAGGCAGCTTTTTTGCGGTTGTAGGTAGGCCCCTACATTGGGTCTTATGGGAGTTTTTATGCACTGCAGCGCGGGCCGCAACCTATCAATGCTACCAGTGGTATAAAACCTGCGGTGCCGCAAGTTCCGAACCGCATGCAAATTTCGCAGCCGCATGTTTTTTGAGGCGCGATAAAAACCTCAGCCGCAGTGCATGAAAGGGGCATAAGTGACTTGTATTGTAACTGTACTGTATGCTACCTAAATATCTTTAGAACAATGTTCATATGACTAGTCTATAATGATGGGTAACTTGGATATTCAGGGGTATTTTACATCTGTACCAAGCATTTCTGTATATGAATGTGTAACAGTTTCAAACTACTGTCAATATTTTAAACTGACCTAAATTACATCTGCAATTTTTAATTTTATATTTGAACTCATTTGAATCATTGACACTGGGTAAATAATAGCATGTATTATTTTTGTTCAAACATTGTTGGTTTCTTTTATGATTTATTACAAAGTGGCTGATTTCAGATTTACAAGAAATTAAGTAGTATCATCTTTTATTGTTAAGTTTGTAGCTACTGTGCTACCCACAAGTTTATTTCTCTGTACAGTAGACCCCCTCTTAACCGACCTCGTATTAACCGATAATCGGATTATCCGCCTTCGATCGTAAAATAATACAGTTTGTTTTAACCGACCTTGCTTTGAGAGCAGCTCGGTTCAACCGCCGCTTTCTAGGAATCTCGGCATTTCCGCTCCCACGCTCGGCGATGAGAACTGAACCATACGCCTATCTCCACAGGATATGACTAAGAATAAGTTATTTTGTGTTGATCACAAAAAATATAGCATATAGCCCATTGTCAGTTTGTCATCATCGTTCGTAGCACATCTGATCTGATTTGTTATCTGTGCGGCAAATTTATAAAATCATAAAGTGCGTTACGATTTTGAGAACTGATTATCGCTAGAGTAAACAAACAACGCAACTTGTAGAGAAGGCAGGAAAGGGGGGTTAACAACTCCAAGGTCAAGATAGTTTTTGTGCCTCGAGCCGAGCCTCCAGTGAGAGGCTTTAAATAAACGTCCTGTCTTTTGACAAAATGGTTGCTTGTATCTTTAATTTTGACAAAAGGTTCTGTACTGTATTACGATGGATTTGGAAAGCATCAATTAATACATTACAGTACTAAAGTAATTAAAATAGGAATTTTATTGACTCTTGCCTAGTATTATAATATATTCCACTGAAAGTAGGCCTATTTGACTTAACCATGTTTTGTGTTTATTTGTGATTTTTCTATCAATACGAGAAAGGAGATAAGAGTAGTTTATTTTTTAAATAATGCAAGTATGACTTCAAAATAATGATTACCGTATACAGTCTTCTAAGCTGTCCTAAACAGATTACAGACGAACGGCTTGACATACAGAGATGAAACAAAACTTTTCCCCACTAATTCATACCCAAGGAACAACGTAAAAATGTTTTTACCATTTTTAAAATACAGGGTGTTCAAGAAACTGGGGGTCATGGGTTCGAATCTCAAGAGTTTTTAAATGTAAACATATGTCATGTTATGCATAATTTTAAAGCTCTAGACTAGACAAACAATTTAGTGAAAACAGAACTCATTTATCTTTGTCCGTTTCAAAATGGCGGCCATTTTTATATAAAATATTGATATTTACAGAATACCCTGTATCTTGAAAACCACTAAACTTATTTTCGTTCTGTTTGAAAATTCTTAATCCTCGTAGGTTCAGCTTTAATTTGATATACGACAAGTCAACATTTAAAAAACTAAATATTTTTTCTATGATTTAATTTTTTTTTAAGTTGGTAGCCTTGTAAATGCAAATTTTTAAATGGCAACATATGTAAAAGTGTGTATAATTTTGAAGGTCCATGGGAATAGTGTATCTCCATCCACTAATCTTCAGTACTGTACGTTTAACATGAGTTTTATATGGGCAATTGGAGTTTTTGGTTAATTACTATAAAACGACCAAAGATAGACGGTAGGTTTAAATTTAAAAGTTGTTTGTTTTTACAAGACCTTCAAAATTATACACACTTTTACATATGTTGCCATTTAAAAATTTGCATTTACAAGGCTACCAACTTAAAAAAAAAAAATTAAATCATAGAAAAAATATTTAGTTTTTTAAATGTTGACTTGTCGTATATCAAACTAAAGCTGAACCTACGAGGATTAAGAATTTTCAAACAGAACGAAAATAAGTTTAGTGGTTTTCAAGATACAGGGTATTCTGTAAATATCAATATTTTATATAAAAATGGCCGCCATTTGGAAACGGACAGAGATAAATGAGTTCTGTTTTCACTAAATTGTTTGTCTAGTCTAGAGCTTTACAATGATGCATAACATGAAATATGTTTACATTTGAAAACTCTGAGATTCGAACCCATGACCCCCAGTTTCTTGAACACCCTGTATTTAAAAAATGGTAAAAACATTTTTACGTTGTTCCTTGGGTATGAATTAGTGGGGAAAAGTTTTGTTTCATCTTTGTATGTCAAGCCTTTCGTCTGTAATCTGTTTAGGACAGCTTAGAAGATTCACCCTGTATAATTCCAAATGAATAGCACTTCATTATGTTATGATTTTAGGGATTGCCCGTTTTATCCGACCTTTTGAGCTATCCAACCTAGGTCCGGTCCCATTAGGGTCGGTTAAGAGGGGGTCTACTGTACTATTCTAACTAATCTATTTGAATTTACTCTGGTCTATGTGATCTCCAGTTATTTAACCTAAGTCATCAGAAACAGGAGAGGGTGCGTCTGAAGGTACTCAGTCAATCCAATATTGCTGACAGACAAAAATACTTTTATTACAATCAACAAAACAAGAATGGGGAATTTACCTGTGTGATACAACCTCAGAAAATCAAAATACTTGGAATCTTTCAAGAATTAAAATTGTAAATTTTCAAACATTACATGTATGCTACATACACACATACTACTATACATAGGTATAATACATAGGCTACTAGAAATTACACTTAGGCCTACTTCAAGACTAGATTTTAATGATTTTTAAAGTTATTAATTCATAGTTTTGTAGATGCTAATTGAATGTGATGTGTTATAGATTTCCAGAATGACTACAAGACGCTGTATCCTTCGTTCATGGAGAGCGTGTGGTGGGTGTTTTCTGAGCTGTGGAACAAGGGCCTGGTCTACCGAGGAGTCAAGGTCATGCCTTACTCAACTGCTTGCAACACTCCTCTGTCTAACTTTGAGTCGGGGCAGAACTACAAAGAAGTCGTCGACCCAGCAGGCAAGTGGTTTTCACTAAACCCAATCACTGAATTACCTTTAAGACAACACACTTTTGTGTTTTGTGCAATGTCATCAACTAATATATATGGTTGAGCTATACTATTGTAAGTTTCTCCTGTTGGGGTGAAATTTAAACGTCTCCTGTATCCCTAGCACATTAACATTGTAACCTACTACTGTGGCAAAGTCCTTATATCCTTTGCAATGGTGAAGACATGATCATTACATTGCACGATTTCAGCAAATATTATACTATCTCATTTGTTCACGAAGACATCATCAACGTCTCCAGTGATTTCGGCAACATTATCCCATAGCAACTGATACCCTAAGTTGTTAATACCAACATTTTCCAATTACTATTCTCTGTTTTGGCTTTTCAATAAAGTTGACCTCCAACTTTAACAACCTGTTCATCTCTATTATAAAGCTTATTTGGCCAGCGAGTATACAATACTTTGATCGATTTAAAATTCTTCCTCTCTTTTGAAAGGGAAGGATTTACGTCTGTTTTTCTTCCATTGTATAACATTGTGTTCAATTGTTCTTTAAACTGGTACAGGCCTACAGATTTTGTTTTGTAAATTTTAGTCTAAGTTAATTTTTCTCCATGTTCCAGTGGTGGTAAGTTTTCCACTGGTGGATGACCCTGATACGGCCATCATAGCTTGGACAACCACACCATGGACTCTGCCGAGCAACTTGGCGCTCTGTGTCAACCCTGATCTTACCTACGTCAAAGTCAGAGGTTAGATAACACCCAAATAAGTTAGAGTAGGCTCTAGGAGTATAAGTTGCCTGCTGCTTGTGACAGTGAGGAATAGTGGACTGCAATAATATACAGTAGGCAATCCCACGACAACCCTATGTGATTTTATTATTCTATATATGTTATCAGAAACGCTTATCAAATATTTGGAATTAGTGAAAAATTTTAGGACAGACCCCAAAGGACAAATCAAAAAAGGCTTATTGAGATACTTCAGTAACTTTGGTAAAATACCATAAAGTTGGAGGCACTGGATGAAAACTGCTGCGTCTTTTCATAATAAGTCTACTTCTCTACCAAAAGTAAATAAATATTCTGAAACATTGGAAACGCTTGGATTGTATATAAAAGAACAGATACAAAACAACGTTGCTGTAGGAGATTGTGATGATTATTTTTATTTATAGCGGAGCATATTTGACAGTTAACTGGAAATTAATCTGTTGTTAAATCCTTATTTATTAATATCAGTTGAAAAGGGCAATCGTTCCCTGTAAAAATCCAAATAATCCGTTGAATCAATTAATTAAGCAATATAAACTTGAAAGCGGGACTCTAACAACAAATGATTTTTATCATAACACCTTTGGGTCTGACTTAGGGGAGGTACGAATGAGGCATTTAGTTCAAAATTCCTCCGTGAACAGCGCTGTAGTAGAGAGCACTTGGCAATGAAGGTTTGCTAATCGCAAAAATAGTTCTGTTCATAAAATAAAATTATAAATGTCCCAAATTCAATTTTATTATTTTTTAATTATAAAATTAAACCATGATAACCTAACCGAACTAACCAAACTTGCTGATAAAGAAATAATATAACAAAAGTTTAGTAATCGGAAAAATAATTCTGTTTATTAAATAAAACTAGAATTTGCTCAATTAAAATTTTGTTTGTAATGACTTAATAGTAAAATTAAACTGTAATAACCGAACCAAACCAACCAAACTTGCTGATTATAAAAAAATCTTGGACAAAAAGTTAATGCTACCAGCAGGATTCGAACCCGGGACCTACAGTATATCAGCCCGGCACGCTAACCATTAGACCACCGTGGCCGATGGCTATCTATCGTTTTGTTACGGTAATGGCGTTCCCTAAGCTAATAAGAAGCCCACAGCTGTCATCGTAGCCTCTTCTATACATCCCCTGAGTAAATACACCTTTATATCTTTCTACTGTAATGAGCAATAAAGTTACGGGACTTCTGACTTAGACTAGGATTGTTCTACAGGAAGCAGTCAGAAAATCAGGAATCAGAAAATCTTTATTGTTTCATATTGGTTTGCAAGCTTATACACAGAGTAACTTAAGAATAACTTAGATTAACTAACTCACACACTTATTTAACTATGAAAATAGGAGTCAGGCATTTATTCACTAGGCAATCCTTAGTGTTTGGCGGATTTGTTTTAAACTAATTTGATCAAAAGGCTAAAAATTATTTCAGATTTTTCGACCAACAAGGTGTACATAATGATGGAGGCTAGGTTGCAGACACTTTTTAAAAAGGAAGATGAATACAAAATCCTTCAAAAGTTTTTAGGAAAAACACTTGCTGGAAAGAAATACAAGCCGATATTTCCCTACTATGCTCATGTAAGTAGATTGGTTATTAGAATAGGTATTCATTATTATCAAACAATGGTTACCAACTTGTTTTATCCCATATACCTCTGAAAAAGGTTTCTCATTTTTAATTTATAACTTCATGTTACAACATTAGTCAGAACTTAGATGAGTTCTGGCTTATTTTATTATGATAAAGGAAACCTGTGATATTAGGAAGAATTTTTTTTGAACTTTGAAAAACTTAAAAATAGTTTTAAAAAATAAATATCAATTTGATTGTTTTATGGTCTAGTTGCCATGTACCTACATCATTTCATAATGTGACTCTACAATATTGTACGATTTTCAATAAATGGCATTGGCTGCAAAATATCCCCTCTTGTCCTACAACATAACACCGTTCATGTCTGTCCGTCTCTTCACCACAGTCAACCTCCAGCAGTCCACCACAAACAGTGTGTGGTACAGGTCAAATGTAAACTGTGTTGTTATTCTGTCCACATGAGTCTGATAAAGTGTAGACTAGAAACACTTTTATAGAAAAGTAGTCTAGAAGAAGAATCTAAAAAACGATTTAAGTTTTTTTTTGTGTTTAAAGGTATAGATTTTTCCTAGTGATAAGCCGGACGATTTTGAGGTGTTATAGGCTACTCCTTGATCCCATAACAATATCCAGAAAAGTCCAGAAACGTTCAAGAAAAGTTTTTAATGTACAATCTATTTGTAAGTTTTCTTGTGATTAATTTAATATAATATCTACCAACAGCTAAAGCAAGCGTTCCGTGTGTTATGCGACGGCTACGTCACCGAGGAGAGTGGTACTGGTATCGTCCACCAGGCTCCCTACTTTGGCGAGGACGACTACAGAGTGTGCCTGGCTAACGGAGTGATCACTCGTGACCAAGAGATTATATGTCCTGTGGATGAAAGTGGTTGCTTCACTCTGCCTGTGACAGACTTCAACGGTCTCTACGTCAAGGTCAGTTGGTCATAAACATATTTTGTGGAAATGCATTGTGTTTAACTTGTCCATCTTGCACTGAATCCTGAACGCTTAGTCTTACAACTAGGCTTAACACAGAAAAAAAGTTGAGCCATTTACTGAACCAAGAGGGTTCACATTCCAATAATTTTACTATGTGTCAAGTAAAATACTTATTGGGTTCTAGGATGCCTAATTCTATTTGTTAAATGTTTGGTTGGGAATGTTGCTGAAAGTCAACAGTCCCGGAAGATCAAATAATTTATACCTGTGCCACTAGGTCAAAAACTACAATGTTTGCAGTGTCTGTAGATCAAAAGTCCCAGTAAGTCAAATAGTACAGTCCGAGCTAAAAACGTGGTCTATGTTAAAGCAATTGACTTATTGGGAATTTGACCTAATGCAACAGCAGTTTTAATATAACGAAATACGGTAAAATACAAGTTCAGTTTCGCTGAGTCAACAGTGCCGGAAGATCAAAAGCAATAAAAGTGAACGTCGATTCAGTGTAAAGTAGACCTCCTGCAACGCTTACTACACCAACAAAACTCGCTTTTAGTTACTTCGTGTTTTGTCATAATTAGAATAAAGCTAAAATTATCATATTTGGTACATAGCTTATCTATTAATGCTTCTTGCCAACTGTTTGGTCAACACTGTAAATAGGTATAGTTTATGTAATGAAAAGCCTTTTGTCAAAATTTGTGGCATAAAATACACGCAAGGACGATCTGAAAATTTCTGGTTATTATATACGTTTGTAAAAGGAGATCCATTTAATTGTAGAACTATTTTATGAGTTATAATGTAGTCTACACATAAACTGTGTAAATGTATTACGCCTCGGAAGGGTTGAAACCTGTCCAAACTATCATATATATTATTAAAACGTAAATGAGGTTTTTCACATTCTGAATCAACCAGTCGACGGATTTTCATTATTTTTATGTTGAAAGAAAGATAATTTTGAGAACTAGGGAATGTCAAAGCCATAATTATAATTAAGGGTCCCAGTTTTTTAGAAATTAAGTTTCAAATTTTAAAAAGTCTAGCAGCCGACGCTTACCTTCTAAGCTAGCTTTTAGTACAATATAATTTGCTTAACATAACAGCTGTAAACATTCAGCATTTGGAAACAAATTTAAAGACATATTTAGAGTTGACATATTTATACTATGTGTAATGCTGACCATTGATCCATTCAATTCTTAGGTATGAGGATGGCAGATTAATTAAATATGCATAGTAAAATTGTAGGATGTTCAAATTATTTTTAAAGGAATCTTTATAATCATTGATTTGTTTTAGTCCCATATAATTTGTTTTAACTAACAGCTGGTTGAATGTACTATTGTTCTATATAACTATTACGTTTTTGGCGAATATCCCATATAGGGAATAAGCTATTACCGTAGTACTTATGGTAACACCTGGACCCGCGGGACCGATTTAATTTTTCGTTTTGAGGTCCCTAGAGGCCAAAAACACCATCCGTTCAAATTCATATATACAGGGTGATCAACTCAAGGAGTCCACCATTGGGAAATCAGAAACGGTAAGAATTAGAGAAAACTTTAAATGGGGCACATACCTTTAATTTTTGTGGCAGTTAAAATATGATTTTAGTTTTTTATCATGTTTTCGGATAGAATATGCAATTTAAAAACTTTGTTAGCTTTGACATTTTTTTGATAAACCCACTCGTTTAGGATTACAGCCTATGGAAAAATGACTTCCGGTTTACATTTTACATCATGTAGCTCCTAAACGAGTAAGTTTAGAGCAAAATTGCAAAAAGTAAATCAGTCTTAGAATTGCATCTTCATTCCTTTAAGACTATAAAATAAAAAGTTTTCCACTTTTCAAGTTTGCCGCCATTTTTTAAAATAATATAATTCATATTTTTAATGAATTTTATGGTCTTTTAGGAATGTGGATGCAAATGTAAGACTTTTTTACTCTTCCCATTTTTGCTATAAACTTACTTGTTTAGGAGCTACATGATGTAAAATGTACACCGGAAGTCATTTTTCCATAGGCTATAACTCCTAAACGAGTCGGTTTATCGAAAAAATGTCAATTTTAAAAAAGTTTTTAAATTGCATATTCTATCCGAAAACATGATAAAATATAGGGTGTTCCATAAGAAATTTCAAATTTGCTGAATTTCAAAAAACTAAAATCATATTTTTAACTGCCACAAGAAATAAAGGAATGTCCCCCATTTAAAGTTTTCTCTAATTCTTACCGTATCCGATATCCCAATTACAATTGAAATTGTAATTGGACACTAGTAAGTACCAGTGCACTTGTTGCTACCTCCCCCCTTCGGTTTCATGTATTCCTCTCAATCACTTCAAACCTAGGAGGATTAAACATTAATGTTAAATCCTCCTAGGTTCAAACCTTAAACACCCAGATCGAAACTCGCCTGTCGTTATTTTAACATCGCTTAATTTTTTTTACTATATTTTTCAAAAAAGGAAGATTAAATTGATTTACTTTGGATTTTAAAAAGTGGACGTTTTATTTTATTAAAGATTTATGGTGATACGTAAATATTGTGGTATAGTAAAGTATGTAGTTAAGTGTTAAATTTCGAAATTTTAGGGTGAATCGAGATGAATCTTTTTTTATAACATGGGTCTCTCCTACCTTAACGTACATACCAAGTTTCATAAACATCGGTTGGAAAAGTGTAAAGATAAATATTTGTATGTAAAAAATACAAAATGGCGGATATCTGGTTAACGAAACGATTTTGGAAAAAATGTTATCGTTCATTTTCTGTTTATTTTGACCCAAGGAATTACTAGGTAAAGTGTCTCTCCGCTTATTTTTAATACCTTGTTTGTGATGTATTCTTATTAATATAAGTGAAAAATGTAAGCTGGTAATACAGAAAGATGTTTTATAAATAATATGAATGTACTGGTAATCTGTATATTCATCTTTTTCTTGTCCTTAGAACTGTAAATTAAAAGTCCACTCAGCAGTCGCATCGTACGATGTAGTTCTTTCCATGCGTTGCGAAATGCTAAATTTGCCGTCCTCTTCAACCCAAGTTATCTATTGAACCACTGATTGTAAAAAATTCAAAAAAATATATTTTACGCATCACACTTTTGGCTACAACTTTGCCACAGACAAAACCTCTCTAACCCAAAAACAAACAAAAATCTCGCATGCTAACTTTTTCATGTTAGAAATCACGATTTAAAACTATTTCACCATACATATCAATTTTTATTAATTATATCGGTAAATAGTTTAAAGTTCCAACAAAATAGTCATTGAGTAGGACTAACCAAGAAGCTCTGTGCCAATTTTCAAAATCTTAGCACAACTTTAAGTACACCAAAACACGAAATTATTGAAGTCATGCGTCGAGAGGACTATCGTTGTTTTTAACAGATTATACTTTTGACCTTCCGGCACTGTTGACTCAGCGAAACTGAACTTATATTTTATCTTATTTCGTTTTATTAAAACTGCTGTTGCATTAGGTCAAATTCCCAATAAGTCAATTGCTTTAACATAGACTACGTTTTTAGCCCGGACTGTACTATTTGACTTACTGGGATTTTTGATCTACAGACACTGCAAACATTGTAGTTTTTGACCTAGTGGCACAGGTATAAATTATTTGACCTTCCGGGACTGTTGACTTTCTGCAACGCGTCCGTTTGGTTGTGATTTAAAAGCAGCGATTGAATCAATGCCATAGGCCTACTCTTTTTAAACCTCAACTACACACAACTGTAGACAGTGGAGATTTAATCTGTGCGGTGAACTAAAGACTGAAGTATTGTTACAATATAAATAACATGGGCAAGCAAGTGAAGACTACAGTCCAGACATCTAGTCTTTGCCTGTTTAACCTAGATTTTCAATTGGGCCAAAAGTTAGAGATATTTTAAAGAAAGGATCTATTACCTGCGCTGGACCCGTTAAAAATGTTTTACATACATGTCTTGTATTTTTATCGGTTTGCTATATATATATCGGTGTTTTTGATACCCTGACAATGCTGTATTATTAGTGAAAAACGTAGGTAAAAGATCATCTTCAACTAATTTACATGGCGAGGTAAATAAGGTACCTACCATATATTTGTAGTAAAATATATCTCTATTTCAAAATGTATATATGAAATATATTTGAATAGTTACAAGTTCTTTTTGGCAGATATTATGTTAATGCTAAAACGATAAAGCTATTTGTAGGCCTATTTAACATTATTTGTTTGGTTCAGGAAGCAGACAAGGAGATTATCAAAAAGCTGAAGGCAGATGACCGTCTTGTGAACGCTGGCTCGGTGAAGCACAGTTACCCGTTCTGTTGGAGATCTGAGACTCCTCTCATCTACAAGGCTGTGCCTTCCTGGTTCATCCGAGTGGAGCAAATGAGTGAACATCTGATTAAGGCTAACTCTGACACTTATTGGTGGGTTGGAATCATCTTCTCAATACATAAGGATGTTTCATAGATTGGAAGGGCCTAGATTTGAAGAATTTTGCTAGGACAGAAAATTACCTGCTGACCTGATACCTATGGCTTACCTGAATGGAAAATTTTGACTCTGGTACAAGAGAATGAAAAACTCTCACTATACACGCAATTAGAACATTACAGTGTCACTGGCGGTATTTCCAGTTAGTAATATAGTCTTTAGGTCAAATAGGCCCAGAAAAAGTTTGTCCCCCAAGTTGGCGTTGGCACACATCTCAAACACAATTTTCAGCTGTTTCGCTTGAAAATTGTTGAAATAGAACTGAAAACCTTGGTATGCTACTCCTGACAGATGTCCAAAATATAAGCCGTGGTAAATGAGTTCTTATTTTGATTCCTTGGTTGCAGCATAAGTCAGATACTGCTCCTATCCATTATTATTAAATTACGCTCACGTAGATAGTTGTAAGTTTGTTGCGTAGCTGTTTTGTTATAACAATCTTGATGGTGAATAAATTCAAGCCCAAAGTGGAAAAAATATATGATTTTTGTGGTTCATAAATACAGATAATATCTGTGTTATGATTGCAGGGTGCCAGACTTTGTGAAGGAGAAGAGGTTTGGTAACTGGTTGCGAGAGGCGCGTGACTGGGCAGTGAGTCGCAACCGCTACTGGGGCACTCCGATACCTCTGTGGGCCTCGGAGGACTGGCAGGAAGTGGTGTGTGTGTCGTCCATAGCTCAACTGCAACAGCTGACTGGCCAACCTGTGGCCGACCTGCACCGAGACAGGTCAGTTAACATTACAACAGAAAAAACAATATCTGGTGATCGTTGACTTCTATGCTCTCCATCAACTAGTACGAAGAAAGTCTGATTTCGTGAGTCTATAAATGTACCAATTGATACCCTGATTTACTTAAGAAGAGGTGAAAATAAAATGTTGATACACTAAAACCTCACCAATCCAGCATTGAATAATGTAGTATTCAAAATTCAAATTCAAATTCGTTTATTCAGCTAAAACTAACAAAAAATTTTTGCATTAGCTAAGTCAGAAAAAAAGTACAACTCAAACTTACAAATAATAGTACAGTTTGGCAGAGTAGTTGAAAAGTGGAAAAAAATGTCAGATACAGTAGACTCTCGCTCATCCGGACTAATGTGGCGGACGTCCGGTCCGGATTACGTAAAATCCGGACTATCGAGAGTCGAGCAAATACACAGTACTGTATATAGCCGTTTTTTCAATTTAGTTCCAGGTCCACAGTAATGATAGCCGGGCATATGCACTTCCACCGGTAATAATTTTTCGGCCGAATTTTGTTCCAAATCAAATCAAATCAAATAAAAAAATCCTTTATTCAAACAGTACATTTCTATACATGAATTGTGTCAAGTCAAGAATAAACATAACTATACATTTGGCAAATTTACTACACTAATTAATTAAGAGCTATAATCTATATGTATACACTTTCTCCCCTACAACTACTTACTGTTCAACCATTACAACTAACTATTGATTTGACATACTAATATCTAATTGAAAAAGTCCCCAATCTTGTAGCAGCATTTATCTGACAACAATTTGAACAAACTGGTTTTAAATCTTTTAAAATCTGTCAAACCCTTTATGGTGCTAGGCAGGCTATTATACAATTTTATGCCAGAGTAATATGGAGAATGTTCAATGGTGGAGGTGTTATGTCTAGGGTATGTAAGGCTATTCTTTTGTCTTGTGTTATAGTTGTGAAAATCAGAGTTATTTGGAAAACTTGATAAATTTTGTCTTATATACAAAATTAAATTATATATGTATATACTAGGAAAAGTAAGAATTTTGTGATTTTTAAAAATACTCTTACAGGATTTTTTTCCTTCAAGTCCAAAAATAATACGGATAATTCTCTTCTGCATTTTAAAAACTTTTTTTCTCCTATCTGAATTTCCCCAGAAGATCACACCATAATTAAACAAGTGATAGACATAACCGTAATAAACCATCATGAGAGTGGATATGTCAACAGATTTAGATAAAATAATGAACATAAAATGAGCTTTATTTAATTTTTTTACAACTTCACCAATATGATTTTGCCAAGTCAATTTTTGATCCACTGTGATGCCTAAGAATTTAACTGAGCTTACTGAATTTAGAGAAAGATTCAAATCTAATTTTGTTAATGAGTCTGATTTCTGGTAGTTTTTTTGGAATTCCATCAGAAGAGAAATTCCAGGTCCACAGTAATGATAGCCCGGGTATATGCACTTCCACCGGTCATAATTTTTCGTCCGAATTTTGTTCCAGGTCCACAGTAATGATAGCCCGGGCATATGCACTTCCACTGGTAATAAATTTTACCGCTGTGTTATCCGATTTTTTCATTATTCAAGTTAGTCTCGGCCCCGTTTCGCTCAGATAGTCGAACTTCTACTGTACTGTGCCGCTAAATAAAATCACAATTGCCGATCCGGACTACCGGGAGTCCGGTATGAGAGAGAGTCTACTGTACCTATTAACAGTCTTTTTAACTCTATTTCTGCTAACCAAGCAACATATTTATCATATCACGCTCAGTAATCACTATTTTTGATAATCCATCACTGCTGGAGTCTCAAACATTTTATTATTAAAGGGTACAGGCTGTCGGAGTTGGATTTCATATAATTTTGGTTAAATAAATCGATACTTTTTCTACGTTTAAGGTTTGTTTAATTGACACCCCTTGAAAAATGTTTCTTTTCTGTTTATTTAAAAAACGTTTGTGAAGATGCCTTTGCTAAAGCTTTGAAACCTAAATCTCATACGGTATTTGTGTTGATTTTCATTCATTGGTAGAAATTCTTTAAATGGAATGTATCAAACAAAACAAAGTTTGAATCCAATATAGTGTGAAAATGAGCTTTGTGGCATATTGTTAAAATATGGTGAAAGCAGCAAGGGAGATTTCAATGAAAATCACATCATTAATATTTAATACCAAAGTAGAACTCAACTTAAATATTATAGTTTTTTTACAAATAGGCCTAAAGTTTATCTAACTCACCTGAAAAAATTATAGCCCAGTGGTATATGGATTTACAATAGCCTAAATAAAATGTTATAAAAGGTTATAGAGGGTGGTCGCGAATAAGCCTTAAACTTTTTATTGGGTATAAGAGGAGCATAAATGGAACTCGTAAACGTGGTTTAAAAAAATATATCTGATACACACCCCCAGAGATGAGTTGTTTAAAGTTTTTTGAAAAAAATTGACATAATTGCAAAAATGGTGCATTTTTCGGGTTATTTAAAAACTTTTGTCAATATTAACAGTACCATCCCGTTCTCCACAAAATTTTGTATAAAAATACATGTACTTCAACTTGCCTAATTCTGCATAGCTACTTATTAAATTGAATAGAAATAAAAATTTGTGTTAAAAAAAAAAGTATAAAAATACGTAAACATCAAACTTTAAAAAAAAAGGTTTTAAAGAGCAGCAAATACTTTTAAAAACTGCTCCATAATCTTAGCTTTAAAACAATACCATAAAACGTAATATTTGAGTCGGATACATGTCCGCTATTCAAATTTGAATGGCGTAAAACACAGGTTATCCAAAACATTTTTCACTAATGTCGCGTCGTAATAATGTTTTTTAGATTATTTAAAATAGCACCATCTAAAAGGATTTTGAAATCAACTTTTTGGCAATACTTTTAAAACTAGATCAATTAGGCTTATTCAGCTATAAGGCCAATCTTATACCAATTCAAGTAAGACATAAGACATATTTTATTTACACAATACGTTCTTTATAAAGTACATTTCATACATAAGAACAGGTGTTTCGTCATAGTGATGTATTTTATAGTAAAATTAATAGTTAAAATAATTAAAATAAACTCATGTAGGATATCAGAGAATTTTTATCTACATTATAGGGTTCTCCAAAAATTCGTCAAGTGAATAGTAGGCTTTCTCAATTATTTTATCTTTTATTTTATCTTTGAATTGAGTAGCATTTAAAGTTTTAAGATACAGGGGTAATTCATTGTACAATCTAAGTCCCATATATTGAGGGCTGTTCCTAAAAGTCGTCAATTTGTGATGTGGTAATCTGAAATTATATTTATTCCTTGTATTATAATTATGTGTAAATTTGACTACATCTGACAAATTTTCCTTAGTGTTATGTATCCAATTTAGAATTTCATTTATGTATAATCCAAAAATGGTGTTAATTCTAAGATTTTTAAACAGGTTTTTACATGATTTTCTCCTTCTTGATTTGGTTAAGATTCTAATAATTTTTTTCTGTAAAATTAGTAGGGATTTAACTTCTGTTGACACTCCCCACAGTATGATTCCATACCTCAAGATGGATTCAACGTATCCATAGTAAACTGTGATACATGTATCCTGAGGTACACAGTTTATCAGGTGAAAGAAAGCAAAAGAAATAGATCTTAGTTTGCCTTTCATCTTATTTATGTGAATCTTCCAATTAATACGAGTATCAAGCAATACACCCAAAAATTTATGAGATTCTACTAAATTTGGAATTTTATCAAGAATTACATTGTTTTTTAAAGAAAATTTAATTATATGAGTTTTATCAATATTCAGCTTTAAACCATTATCTGTAAACCAATTTTCCATACAATCCAAAGTGTTTTCTATTGATACAATTAAGTTATTTACTGAATCCTCTCTTATGATTGCTGTTGTATCATCAGCAAATAAGATTAAATCTGTGCCAATAAGATATGTATGATATGATATTACAAATTAATAATAATCCATTTATACTTACTAAAAAAAACTACTACTTAACTACTTAGGTCTACTTTACTTAAAAAATGTAGGTACCTGTTATAAGTTTCTATTGGTAAACCTTCGTCGTAACTTTTAGCATTGATCACCTGACCATTCCCTCGGTGCGACCTGGTCAGCCTCCTCTTCGTAGAGTTCCGGAGGTGTTTGACTGCTGGTTTGAGAGCGGCTCTATGCCTTACGCTCAGCTACATTATCCTTTTGAGAACAAGAAAGACTTTGACGACCGATTCCCCGCCGACTTCATCGCCGAGGGCATCGACCAAACTCGAGGATGGTAATATGATTTAACTATCTACCTAGCTAACCAAATTAATCTTGTAATATAATTTTTTATGTTTTAATATTTTTAAGTATAGATTATTCTTAACATGTATTGTATTTTGATGGTTTTTAATTGTAAGATTATGTGTGCTATTTTTCATTAGGTTCTACACCCTTTTGGTTATATCAACAGCTTTGTTCAAGAAAGCTCCTTTCAAGAATCTCATTGCCAACGGTTTGGTGTTGGCTTCTGATGGTCAGAAAATGTCCAAGAGGAAGAAGAACTATCCTGATCCTATGGAGGTATGTTCGAAATCACAGATGTGGCAAGTTTTCCCCACATGACAGCAAAAGTGTTTCTGTAACTACTTTATAAAGATATAACTTTACAAATTCTAGGAGTTCTACACATCATCCATGGTTATATTAGCGAATTTCCCATATAGGGAATAAGCTATTACCGTAGGTCTCATGGTAAGACCTGGACGACGGACCGATTTACCTTTTCGTTTTGAGGTCCCCAGAGGCACAAATTATTAGTACATATTCTTGTCTATGGACATATTTTAATGAAATTTGGAAAATTTGGAAAATTTGTACTAAGCTATCAATATTTCAATAAAAAACTTACCTTATTATCTTCCCTGTAAGATGAAAACCTAAGAACTCATTAAATTAAAAATATTTAAATATGAGATAAATCTGAAAATTTCTAGGGAATCATTTAGTGGAATTCCAGCCAGGTAAATGGAAATTCCCTTAGTCTGCAGGTTTGCTACAGCGGGTGGTATTTTATTTTAAAACAATTTGTTAAATTAATATCATCTTGTTCGAAATTCAATACAGTTTAAGCGTTTGTACCAGTATACTCAACATGAACTGTGATTGGCAAAAGTGTTTGAACATCTAACAACCCACAATCAACTTTCAAGTACACATTTATTTATTCGTGAATAGAATTTTGATAGGGAAAGTATACTTGAAGACAAAATGAAGCTTTTAGCGGATTGGGGGAAAAACAAGATATTTTAAATTGAAGCGTTTGACAATATGAAACCTACAGTAGACTCCCTCTTATCCGGACTCCTCGGGACCGAGGCCAGTCCGGATAACGGGTTTTCCGGTTAAACCGACGTCCCCAAAAACTCAATAAAACGGACCGTTTAAATGCATACTGTATACAGTATTTGACTTAAATTTAGGAGAGCATTGTATTTAGACTGTGATCACTGGTCTCAAATCATTCCCACGAGAACAGCCATTTCAATACCGCCCACTTCCTGCCGATCTAGTCCGGTTAAACCGACGTGCTGATAAAACTTGTCCGGTTAAAGAGATGTCATTTCCGCCAAGTGCAGTCCGGTTAAACCGATGTCCGGTTAAAAGGTGTCCGGATAAGAGGGAGTATACTGTATGTCCTATCTTTCCCTCCTAGGTTTGTTCCGGTGATATAAGACAACCCTAACAAAGCAGGAGTTAACCATTGATTTGTGATTCTGACTTCAGCTGTCTTAAAAAAAAAACAGTTGTAACAACACCCAGTTTAAATATTTGTCAACAGATAGTCCACAAGTACGGTGCGGACGCATTGAGGTTGTACCTGGTCAACTCACCCGTGGTACGAGCGGAGAACCTCAGGTTTAAGGAGGAAGGAGTCAGAGACATCCTTAAGGACGTGTTCCTGCCGTGGTACAACGCTTATAGATTCCTCATACAGAACATACAGCGCATCAATCAGGTAACAACTATACTTATGCTTTCAACTTCATGGATTATTCAGTTTTATGCCAATTTTTACCTCAATAATTATAATAATAGGCTATAATTATTTACCAATACTTGGTTTTTCTATCTAAAAAAAAAAATAAAATTCAAATTTCTCTTAAAACAAATTTTTGGTGGACACACACAACAAGGATAAGCTAAAAGTGGTAAAATACCTACTTTGAGGCGCAACGTACAAAGAGTTCACCCATTCCATCAACTTTTAACTCAAGCAGTCTACTGGTTATTTTGAAATCACAGATGCGGCAAATTTTCCCCTTTCCATACTTGATGATGCCACAATATAGTAGCTAAACTTTTAAGAAGTATTCTGAGCGACCACCTAAAGAAACTGTAGACGTAATAAATGGCTTCAATTAGTAATTTTAAATAGTATAAACTTATATTTTTGTGATTTCAGGAGGAATCAATAACGTTCTCGTTCAACGAGGAGAGTGCAACTTCCACCAACATCATGGACCGATGGATTTTGTCCTTCACACAGTCACTACTAGCCTTCATACGCCGTGAGATGGGAGCATACAGGTAGGCCTACAACTAAATAAGTCTACTATGGATCCATCTATGTCTCTATTGATTATAAATTAATTAAGAGTTTGAGAAACATAATACCACTAACCATTAATCTCTTGTCAGGCCTTGTTTGTTACTACATGTTTTTTTGTCCTGTCTCAGGCTGTACACTGTGGTGCCGCGGCTGGTGCAGTTCATTGACAATCTGACCAACTGGTACGTGCGCATGAACCGACGTCGGCTCAAGGTAGGTTTTCTTGCATTTCGTATACTTTTCTTTTATCCTTTTTGTTTTTGAATTTATTTCTCAGCTTTTCGGCACCAGACCTAATTCAAGTAAAAATTGCTGATATCATAAGTTATTGGACACATTTTAAGATTATATAAACAAATAACCAAGCAAATTATAAACATGGGAATTGTTTCATTGAATAGAAAATTTTAAACAGTTTTATACAGTAACTGCAAAACAATAATTATATAAATGTCAGTAATTATAAAAAGTGGCAGTCAATTCGTAGGCAGCGCCACCAGCATACAATGTACCAGCATAGCAACGCTGGTGGCACTGCCTACGAATTGACAGGCAAAGCCCTCTCCGAGTACTTAACGCTTTTTACCATGTGGTTAGCATTCTGGGTTATAGTAGTATGTTTCCTGTGGTAACGTATCCGTCACTTCTCTCCATGTATTCCTCAACTACTGGATGTGTTGCAGGGGGAGGGAGGAGTGTCGGACTGTCAGCAAGCCCTAGCCACTCTGTCTACTGTACTGTTCACCATGGTGAGGGTGATGGCTCCCTACACTCCGTTCCTCACAGAGCTCATGTACCAGAACTTGCGACAGCTCACCCATCGCCAGGAGAAGAGTGTACACTTCGTCATGATGCCTCAGCCCAGGTATAGTCACTTACTAAGTTAGTTTTTATGGTCCCAGGATAGCATAATGAGCAATTTTACTGATAAATTGTGTTTATACTCTTATCGTATTATGAACAAATTTTATTGTATATTTAGAAGTAAATTGACTTTGTTTTGGTGTTGTAGTACTGTTAAAATCCTCGATACAAGTAGGTTGTACAAGTTTGAGGATGAATGAATAATTTAAGGAATACTTACTTACCTGTACTTGAATACCTGAATTCCTCATTGTTGACCGATATAGTGTGATGAATTGCAACATTTGCCATATTGCCTTTGTTGAATTCATTTTAGCCAAACTGTAACTTTTTCCAGGACATCTCTGATTGACGAAGACATTGAGAGGGCTGTGTCTCGTATGCAGAGCGTGATTGAATTGGGAAGGAAGATTCGGGACAGAAAAACCTTGCCCATCAAGGTACTGTTATTTTATTTTAAATCTATTTTTACTTTATACAGTGGAGTCCCGATAATCCAAACTTCGGTAATCCGAAAGTCCGCTTAATCCGAAACCCAAAAATATATATATTTTTTTTTTTTGAACATTTTTTAAATTTTTTTAGAAAAACTTGAAATTTTTTTGAAAAATTTTTAAAATTTTTTTGGAAATTTTGTTGTAAATTTTTTGAATTTTTTTTTTTACTAAATTTTTAACACAGTTAGCTGTACCTTGTCAAAGTATTCTGTAGCGGCCGGGCAAGATAGACTTTTTTGTAGAGTATTTTAGTAAATATTTCACCATTTTTGTTATTAACATTTTTCATTTTTGTCCCGGGTTCCAATCCCGCCAAATCACAAATGGATTTTATTAAGTGATAGGCCTAATGCTGCAACCACTAGTTCTAGCCTTAAGTAATGTGAAAAACAATCCCAAAAAATTTCAAAAAATAAATTCTAAGCTCCATTTGGATATGTACATTTTGCTTAATCTAATGTGTGTTTACAAAATATTTCCAGTCATAAATTTTATTTCAAAATTTAAAAAAAATAAAAAAACAAAAATCTTTTAATCCTAAATATTTGGTAATCCGAAATGGGCCCGGTCCCAACCATTTCGGACTAACGGGACTCTACTGTAATACAATAGTTGAACACAACCATAAAATAAAATAAATGGTAAATCTGTAAAATTTCTACATGAGGTGTTGAAAACTAACAAATATATAAAAAAATATTTTTAAGCAACTTTTGAATTGTCAACATGACAAATGAGATTAAATAAATAAAATTCACTTATGTACCAGACTTGGCAATTAATAAGCCGGTAGTCTGGATTTCCAAGCAAATCACAGATCCTTACTCCCGTGTTATATATGTTACTTTGTTAGCTTCAGTACTTGAAAACACATAGATCAGGAAACAAGAGTTTTGGCACTGAAGACAAAAGCCCTAGTCAGTAATCTAGCAGGCCAATATGTCCGTTGGTTGGTCTAATACCAAAACCATTAATGTTTTTATATAGTTAAGTAATGTATTTTAAACAAATTACATTCATTTATGTTCTGGTGTTTTAATTTAGTGTGCATATTTGAGAAAAAAATGTGCTTATAGTATGTCTAAATTTCTATTAACTTGGCATTTTTCAACCTCGACACCCTTTCCAAACACACTATGCAGAGTTTGTATCAATCAATCAATCAATCAATAAATCTTTATTCAATACATACAACAAGTGTACATGAATGTGTCATCAACCTAAAACGACTTCACATGATTTCACCTACTTCCCTACTTGCTTAGTCATACAGTTTTTTTATTACAGTGTTCAAAACTTTCCAAACTATAAAATTCGCTATAAATTAAAAACCCCTTAAGTTTATTTTTGAATTTATTTACGCTACTTTCGTTTCTAATACTGCTGGGGAGGGAATGCATGAATTTGATTCCAATATAATTAGGACTTTCCTTAAATTTTTCTTTTTTATGTTTTTTAGTTATGAAGTTTAGTTTGTTTCTAGTGTTATAATTATGTACGTCTTTCTGTCTTTGAAGTTCTGATTCATGATTTTTAACATACATTATCGTCTTATAAATATAGAGACTGAAAACGGTAAAGAACTCTAATTCTTTAAAATGATTTTTACAGGATTCGTTTATATCAAGATTAAGGATACACCTAATGGCTTCTTTTTGTAAATGTAAAATTTTGTTTAAATTGAATTTACTTGTTCCTCCATAAATTTCTATCCCGTAAGAAATATGTGAGTGAATAGTAGCAAAGTAAACCTTTCTTAAGATTTCTCTGTTGCATAATGGATATAAGCGTCTAATAGCAAAAATACTTGAGCTGATTTTATTACATAAGTTGTCAACATGTGAGGTCCAATTAAGTGTGCTATTTAAGGCACACTTCATCAAGTGTAGGACTGTTATGTTCCACAACCTTGATAATCATTGATGATTACGAGAGTAATACCAATCAGTAGATGTAGTGATTTGTTTCCCTGTGACAGTACCCATTGCCGGAGGTGGTTGTGATAGTGAACAGTGAGACGCAAGTGTCCGAGGTGTTGCGGCTGCAGCAGTACATCACTGAGGAGCTGAACGTGCGTAAGGTGACTGTGACGGCCGACAAGCAGACCTACGGAGTGTCCTTGCGTGCGGAGCCGGACCACAAGACACTGGGCGCACGGCTCAAACAGGCCTTCAAACCTGTCATGGCAGCGATAAAGGTGAGTTAAGGATTTTGCAGAGTGTGCGTTTTAACTATGGACGTGATTGTACATTTAGTTCAGAAGACAAGACAGGATTTTTATTTCCTTCATGATATTCAGTATGGGAACGGGGGAGGAATTTTCTTCTCCTGCCACAAGGAAAACTTGTACTGTAGTTTGTTTTTAATATCTTAAGTAAAAATTCTTGCAATATTGGCAATAGTGACAAGCATAATCAATTTTCAGTCTTTCTTTATTATACGGTTCTTTGTCATTATGACTGTAATCCATAATCTCAGCTGATCGATCGTTATTATCTCCAGTACATTGCAGGGTCACTCTATATTCTCCTGCAATAGCAGCAAAATCGCGCACTTCTCCTGTGATCATATGTCACCATCTAAATTGGTAATACAACATAGGCCTAATTGAGCAAAGCTCACTTTCCCTCACTTTGTAACTTCTTTGTAAGGGCATCAGAATGTAATGGCTTGACCAATTGATATGAAATTTGGCCAACAGCTAAAGAATACTGAGCACAATGTTTTGGTAAAAAATATTTTCAAATTGCCTTCTGGATTTTATTTTACGGGGCACACAATTTCGCTTGTTATTTTAATGTAAGTTGAAAGAAAAATTATATTGGGTTTATGACATATAGGTTTATCTCGTTTCATTTTAATAAGATAAACATATGTTAATTGTTTGTAACTGTTTTGTTTACATATCAATGTTTACTTTCATCATAGGTTAAAGTTGGAATGTAACAGTAACAGGTACATAGTTCATCTACCACCAGATAAACCAGTTCATCTGTGTTGAAGTAACAGTTTTGCTGTATTTGTTTTGAGCATGCCTCAAAGGCCACGTCATAATATTGGTCGTCGCACCGATAATGCAAATATTGTAAGAGAGTGGTGTCATGAACAAGAAGAACCAGATGAAGCAGTGGCGGAAGAAGCTGTTAATGATAGGCAGTTAGCTAATCAATTCCAACATGAATTAGATGCACAAAAATTTTACACTTGCACTAACTGTCATCGCCAACAACTAACAGCTTCAAACCAACCACCGATTTGTTCGCGTTGTCGTTCAAATGCAACTAAATTCACGGCGTTAAATAATATATGGATGTGTCAAGTGTCCTGAACGAATTAACTGACCTGACGATTATAGAACAAATGTTGATTGCACGAGTACATCCTGCTATGCTGCTATGTTTCCATTGGTAAAAACAAAAAACCCTTGATTGTCTTTATAGATTTAGCTAAAGCCTTTGACACCGTTGACAGACGATTACTTCTTAATAAGTTGAAATGTATAGGGGTGAGAGGTGTCACTTTAAAATGGTTTGAAGATTATCTCGCCGAACGTTTCCAAATTGTCTCAATTTTAAACCAAAATAGTTCACAAAAAAGAATGATTATGGAGTTATCCAGGGTTCGACCTTGGGGCCTCTGTTATTTTTAATATACATAAATAACCTGGGCAAAATTAACTTAAACAAAGGGCAGATCTTTCTGTACGCCGACGACACGGCGCTCTTGTTCGAGGGCGACAGCTTGCCGGAGGTGTACAGCAGCGCCGAGCGCGGCCTTCTCACTGTCAAGCGATGGTTCGACCAGAATAAGCTAACTGTTAACTTATCAAAAACAAAATACATGCCGATTTCACTAAGATCTGATTATGATCCTTTAGATTTAGATTTAAAATTACATAGTTGTGGTGCCGAGATTGAATGTGACAAGTGTGAAAGTATTGAACGTGTGAATGAGTTTAAGTATTTAGGGGTGATGTTTGATAGCCGGCTGAAATGGACTAGTCACATAAATCAAATTAGATGTAAACTACGTAAATTCATTTTTGTTTTTTCTAATATATCCAAAATTTTACCTCTTGATCTTTTAAAAAACATTTACCATGCATACATACAGTCTATTCTACAATTTGGGAATCTAGCGTGGGGTGGTGGCTATAAAAGTATTCTGGCCCCTATCGAAATTATTCAAAAAGCCATTATAAAAATTGCTCTACGGAAACCTCGCCGCTACCCCTCAGAATATGTCTTTGACGAGTTCAGAGTTTTTAATCTTTCACAGCTTTATATAAGATCATTAATTATATACATTTTCAAAAACAAAAATTCTCTTTTTAAACAAACTTCTCACAACTATCCTACAAGATTTGCTTTGAACACCGGGATAGAGTTACCTAAGATCACTAAAAGTATTAATAAAACGTCTCCCCAATACATTGCAACAGTTATTTTTTCTAAATTACCCACTCAGCTAAAAAACCCGGAGCCGTGCAGTCTGTTAAAATATAAAAAACTCGTAAATAAATGGTTGGTGGAACTCGGACGCGGGCATATCGACAGCTTGTTTGTATCCATGTATTCCTTCTAAAGCACAGTCAAATACAACGATTGAATGACTGTCAGGCTGTGATGTTTGTGTGTGGATGTGCATGCGTGTGAGTGTGAGTGAGTGAGAGGGGGCGAGTGAATGGCTCCTAGGACATGCAGGGACAGAGCAGAGACGGCCTAACTAATGGAACTGTGGGGCCAGCAGCCGCCTGATGTCCGGGTGCAACTGAGCAACTGAGCTGAAGTGTGTTGTGTGTTATGTGTGTTATGTGTGTGCTGTTGTCTGTCTGTGTGTGTATGTTTGTGTGTGTGTGTGGTTTCCGAGTCTCAGTTGATACGTACGTGGTTTGTTAGTATGTGTAGTTTTGTTTTCGCCTTTACTTCCTCTTGTGGTTCCTACATTTAAAAAAAAAAATAATAATTTGTATTAGCTCAATGTGCAATCTTACTCCTTCAAAATGTATGTAGAATAATAATTTTAGTTATTAATTACATTTTATATCAAATTGTATGTTGACTACTGGTGAAGCTCATTCCCCACACACAGGCTGTGCCTATGTGGGGAATAATCCATCTGTGTGTACAACCATGTGTAACAATTTTTGTGCTTTGATGGAATAAAGTATTTTTCATTTCATTTTTTTCATTTCATTTTTATGCCCATTTACAAAGTACAAGCAAATGGTCAGGATGGCCAGTTTCACTACAAAGGTACAGTATGAACTATCAGATAAATTTGTCATTCTTTAGAATTTAAATAATATCGGGCAAACAAACGGTGAATCTGTTGAAAGGGAACATATTGAAGGGTGTTAGCTGCTTTAGCCATTGACAATCTTTAAATAATGCTTCGCTCATTTATGCTTCTAAAGTGTAACGGCAGACCGCCCTAGTGTAAATATATCATCATCGTCTCTCACAACAGTTGCAAAGTTGTGAACATATCCCACGATCGTGGCAAACCCGTAAACATCTCCTGCAATCAGGGAGACAACAGCACCTTCTTCCGCAAATGTTGCGAAGATGAATATATCATTGTTGTCATTAGCGGTAAAGTCGTTTTAATCTCCCGCGATCGCAGCAAAAACGCAAACAATCAGAACTTATCTTGTTCCGAAAAAATCCCATTCATCCCTAAACTAATCAATTGAACAATAAAGTGACACAGCGGGAGGGTATTTTAAGCAGAATTTGAATACTGGTTGAAAGTAGAATGGAGGGAAATTACCTTTAAAGCTTTGTTACTTACTATGATCAGCTGTTTCTATATTCAGGATTAGTTAGAAGTCCAATGATTAAGGAAACCTAGGTTCACTTTTCAACTGGGAATTCTGATGAATTGACTTTGAATGTTTTGGTAGTGTTAATCCTACTACCAAATCACATAATGACTACTTGGACAAGTTATTAAAGTGATTTTATTTTAGAATATGCAACTCTATCCAAGATTATTGTTGTTTATAATCAACAAACTGCTTTGTCAATTAATAACTCTATTAATAACCATTATTGGTTCATGATTTGATGTCATATTCATCCTAGTGTTGTAAATATTTTATTTCCATTAAATACATGTAATCTCTTTATAATCCCTATGTGTTACCCGTTCAAGGCTGGTACTTTAACAGTTTGTGTCTGTGTTCAGGAGCTGACCAATGAGCAACTGCAGGAGTTCCAGCAGACACAACAGTTGGAAGTTCTAGGACAAAAGATTGACCCCAGCGAACTCCGACTCTTCTTCAGCTTCACTGGACCTGGGGCCGACCTGTTGGCTCAGAAGTATGAGGCAACTTCTGATAACGATGTGAGTTGTACTTTATCTAGAATTATTTTGATAATTGAGCCGGCTTATGTGGATATTCTGGGTGTATGCAAAAAATACCGAACCAACTGGCCTGTAGTTTTACCCAATGGTAGACGATGTACTTGGCCAACACCCAGGCCTTATGTCCTTAAAATCCCTTCAGGCACTGCCCTGTTGACGTCATAATCACATCATAATTATCTGCGTTCTCATTATTTTCAAAGCTCAGGTAAAGGAAGTATTTGAGAATAATAGGTTGAGGATTCTTAGATTCCTGATAAAGAAAATGACAAAGCCAAACCTATTTATGGTTAAACTAATCATAATAATACTTTTATCTTATCTTGCAGGGGGAGGGGGCGAAGTCACAAAGCACCTCATCAGAATTTCTCAAATTATTGCACACCCCAATAAGTTGATTTATTGAGAGACCTTAAATAACCAAGCACTTGATAAATGCATGCAGTTCCTCTTTGGGAAGGTGACTCCCAAGACCATATTGCCAAGCCAAGAGTGTCTTTCTTACCTCAGAGAGCTCCTCATAGTCAAAGAGCAAGGAAATAGCTGTGTCCTTTGACCTGCTGCATTTCCTGCACCATCATACAAACCCACACATTGCAGAGGCTTTCTGAACCAGCTGTGTCCGGTACTCAGGTCCACTTTTTTCTAATTTTTCGCCCATCCAGTCTCAGAATATCTCAAGACGAGGCAACCTGTTTTAATGGTGTGTGAAGAGCGAGCAGAGTGTTAATCACAAAACAGAACAGTCCTGGGAAAGTCCTTTGTACTCCTATGTATTTTATGTAAAGTTCGCCACTTACCTTGTAATAGTACGGTGTTTTAGTGTAATAGTAAGATGTGGCAGATCCCACATCTTAAATGATTAATCTTGTTTTATATGTCTTATCTTATAGGTAGGCTTACTTAATTTAACTTTGTTCTTTGCAGGTTTTGGTGCTTCTAGATGTGACACCAGACCAAGAGCTTCAGGCGGAGGGTTTGGCTCGAGAGTTTGTCAATAGAGTACAAAAGCTGAGGAAGAAGGCTCATCTGGTACCAACAGACCAGGTAAGTTTACTCACTGGATTATTTAGTAGTTTTAAGATGTATTGACAGTTCCAAGATTTTATGAAAAGCAAGTCTGGTATGATGCACACAAGATACTCACTAAGTTTTAAGTTCTGTGAACTTCTTGGAAAAGTGCTGCGGGTTAGAAAACATATTTCTAAAGTTAATTTTTGGTACCAGAACGGCTGTTGTTGCTCTCTTCGAATACATATTTAACCGCTAAATGATATGAACAGTTGCAAATAGCTTATTATTTGAACTTAGTTAGTTTTAAAATTAAACATTTCACATTACAAGGACAAACAAAATTAAATCAAGAAGACCAAAGAAGAACAATCCTAAATATTTCCAGGGTTGTAGCTGTTTGGCTATAGAATGTGTTGCAAGCGGAAATAGAGCAGTTAGATACTTTTTTAGTGTTACAATTGAGCAGTCTTTACCTTTGTATTTGAGTAGCTGGTTTAAAAGAATAATTCCTAACCTAACTGATTAAAATCCTTATAGAACTCAATAAGATTGTTTTAGTTGAACATTATGATCTATTTTGAGTGGTCAGTAAAAGTAAAAGTTTGTCTGTGGTAGGTGACAGTGTACTATGATACTGAGGGAGAGTTGGCAGACATTGCTGTCAAGTACCACCAGTTTATAGAGACGGCCACTCGCACACCCTTCAAACCAATGGCTCAGCTGCAAGGCAAAGTGATGGAGCAGGAGGTTCAACAGGTCAGTTTTATACTTAGAAATCATTATTGTTGAAATGTAATAAATTGTAACAATATGTTGAAGATAAATCATAAATCAATTTAGAAAGATTTCTATGCATTTAACACCGTATATTTTACATTGTTGTACGGGAACAGTCCAAATCCTGGTCTCGTTTCTAGGCTATCTAACATCAACGTTTTGTTAGATTTCATCATTAATTGAAAGCCCAGTGACCATTAGTATCTTTATCCAGGATCAAACCAGGGAACTTTAGAGCGAATAACAGATGAATTCAATAACATTCAAACCACAATTTTACTAAAAGTAAGCTGGGTTGTGTAGTTCACCTACAATTTCTAACTATTCTGATTTTTTGCAGGTGAAGGGATCTAAACTCACCCTAAAACTAACAGACCACAAGGAAGGTCAGGCAACCAAACCTTCCATAACACCAGCTTGCAGGTTAGTAAATGCTAAAGACTACTTCAACACTTAACATAATCCATTAACAATATCCTGATCAGTGTCAGAGATTCCTTGTTGGCTGTTCTATTCTATGTCTATTAAATTATCTATTATCTATTAAATCTATATATCTATCTAACATGACATCATTTGAAAAGTCTTAAAAATGATAAATTTGGTCCCATACTACTGGACCGAATTACACGTGGTTGGTACCAAATGAAAAGTATTTTCCTTTAGATGTGCAGAAAGAATCCCTTAAAAATTAAAATAAGCTCAAAAATAAGCACAAAAAATGAATTAAATTTTTTTTTTTAATGAACATGGGCCTTATGGGTTGCCATGTTGGTGACGAAATAACAACAAAATATAAACAGAAAATCAAAAAAATTAAAGAAATTCCAATCACATGTTTTATTTACAGCTTGGGCTGAAAATAGAGAAGTTTTCCACAATACATACTTTTGGTCGAGTTTTCGAATACGATGCGAGATCTCTTGTGTTTTTAACAGATACCCAAAGTAAAAGTGGATAGGCTGGATGAAAAGCAAAATGTTTGAGCAGAGGTACAACTTCTAAAGAATTCACCATTAACCATAAACTGACAACTGTTTGGTGATCAACATAGTACAACATATACCACTGTGTAAAATCTTTTATCTAAAAACCTCGCTTTTTTATTTGTTCCTAATGTTTGCCAGTGTACTTTGTACTACATATTTAGATATTTAACAGTGTACAAATATATTTAATATTTGAGCTGCCTTGTATTTTTCGATTGCATGAAAGCTATAGAAAGAAAACAATAGAATAGAAAGAAACCTCCTATTTCCTCACACATCTATTGTAGGGTTTTGTTAAAAAAAACATTCAGTCATAAACAGCTATTTCTGGTATGCATTATAAGAAACAAAGGTATTGATAATCAAAAACCCTAAAAATATTTAGAATGTGTACAATTTTGTGATTGTAGTAAATAGAAGGTAAATTTGTCTTCCAGGTATGTGAGGGTTGTCTTGCAAGGTCTGGAGCCCAGTAATGGAGTCAGTGGCTCTATCGGCTACATACTACTGGAGAACCCTGCTGGAGAAAACCTCCTGACGTTACAGCAGCTGGAGAAAGAGGTTAGTCAACTACAACTCCAAAATGGCAACTGCTTAAAACAGTCTAGTCATTATAGCAGTAAATCTCCATTAATGCACCATATTTGTCCATTGGTCTAACAGGTTTTTCGTTTTCTACAATGAAAAGTCTTCTGGGCGCGTTCTATGGAGTTTGTGCCTGTTCGGCAGGAGTTGAGCAGAGTTGCTCACTTGTCAGTGCTGTAGTTCAATGCCGCATGAAATGTTAAGTTCTGTATTAAATGCAACACCATAAACAATATATTGTTATATAACCTCCCTCACTATAACAAGATATAGACAATTAGCTTGTTGTTAGGTGAGCTACCTGTTTTATTTACATAATACAGTGTGTAAATTAAGTATTGAAACAGATCTGTATTTTTTAAACCGAAATAAATTGAATTATTCTGTTTGTGGCATTAATTGTTAACAAAGGTTCCATAATTTTTTACATCAAAAATATTTGTTAAACCCCCCTAACAGGGTCGGGGTAAGGGGGTGACTTATTTTTCCAAATAGCAACCCCTCATTTTGAAGGATTTGTCAAAAGAAACACAATGACGCAAACCCGAGATGGATATCTCACCCCTAGCCAAAATGGCAGGTATTCCAAAATTTGATTTACTGTATGTAAAAAAGTCCCAATTTCACAAATATGGAAATAAATCTGTATTTTTAAAACCGAAATAGATAGAAATATTCTGTTTGTGGAATTGATTGTTAACATAGGTTCCATAATTTTTTATATAAAAAATATTTTTAACCCCTTTAACAGGATCTGGTTGGGGTGTTGAATTTTTTTTTAATAACAACCCCTATTGAGTGACCCCTCATTTTGAAGGGTTTGTCAAAACAAATACAATGGCGCAATCACTCAATAGGGGTTACTATTTGAAAAAAATAAGTCACCCCCTACCCACTACCCTCTTAGGGGGGTAAAAAATTTGTTTTGTGTAAAAAATTGCGGAACCTTTGTTAAGAATCAATGCTACAAATAGAATATTTCTATCTATTTCGGTTTTAAAACAGATTTGTTTCAATACTTAATTTACACACTGTATAATGTCTTTTTCAGGGAAACGTTAAATTAGTGTTGCCTTAATTAGAAAATTGTCAAGTTCGATGAACATTGGTACTCACACACACATTGTAGGCTAACAAAACTGTTAACTGTTTAGTGACTCCACTTTCCAACTCTTTGCTGTATTACAGGTGAGAGTGTTGTTTGGACTGCAGTGTCGTAGTAAGGTGTTCCTTTACACTGAGGAAGGTAAACTCCTCTCTCAAGACATCATGTCCAAACTGCACCAGACCTCGGTGTTTGTCACTGGTAAACCAACCGAGACTAAACTCTCGTCACAGCCTAGAAATGGCCCGGACTGCAGGTTAGTTGATTGTAGTTGAACCTAAAGCTATTTTACTCAGTTTATATTTCTGAACAGACAGTAATATTTTGTAATATGGTTCAGGGTAAATTGTAAGGGTGGTAAAATCTGTTTATATTTTTGCTTCCTACAAAACTACAATTTTGCACCTTGTTATCAGGTTTGTCAATGTCCAGTGGAAGGACAAGCAAGGTGTCCTGTTCCTAGAGAACCCTGTAGGTGACGGTCTGCCACAGGACCAGGACCTAGCCTCTCTACAGGACCTGGCCCGTAGGCTGTTCCATCTGGAAGGCAAAGCAGTGACTGTCTCCAAGCCTGATAATGGGGTTGTTACTGTCACATAGTATTATGGGAAATATACTCATTGTAAATAACTTAGTCAGTATTTTTTCCCCCTGTTCTTAAATAAAAGTGTACAAGCTCTTTAGGTTTTATTAAGTCAGTTTGGATGTAAAATATATGATAGGGCTAAGTGTTTTTTTCTTTTCAATCTGGCCTAAAACTAAACGTTATTAATTTTGGTTGTCATCCAACGTTTCCATGACACTTTTGTGTTTTGTAAAACAATTAGACATTTTGTTCACAATGATTAAAAATACTTAACCCTTCCCGGAAGGGTGACGGATATATCCGCCTAAGTCTTTGGCGATAAAGGACGGGTGACAGATATATCCGCCTTCTCTTCAGACAGACTGGCAGGTGCTTGAGCAGTAACCAGATGTTTTGCGGTACCAAGGCGCCACTTTCCTGCTCTCTCCATGGCTGCGCTCTCTCCCGCACTCCCCCCTCTCTCACGCGCCTACCCTCTCCCGCTCATCCTCCTCTCCCCTCGCACCACCCACCTCTCCTACGTTCCCCCCTCGACGTTTCGCGCTCAACACTATGTTGTCTTTATTTATTGTTTACATATTGTTCTTTATTTATTGCCTATTGTTGTCATGGTCATATCTTCAAAGATGGTGGCGGATATATCCACTGCTTTTCTACTCATCTGCGGACGGGTAGCGGATATACCCGCATATTTAAAAACGAGTAAAAAAAATATTTTGACAGTATGAAGTGTTCTATTGTGGTTATTTTATGTATACTTGTCCTATCCCATAATTTTTTCCCGTCCTATATCACGATTTCGCCTGTCCGAGAAGGGTAAATAGCATGATTTGGTATGACTTGTTGGTTTTCTTTTTGCAACACTACACTGAATAATATACTTTTCGACTAGACCTTATAATGATGCATTCACAGACTGTAATTTATTAACGAATGTCATTAGCAAGTTGGATTTGTTTAAAAGCAAACTGTAATCATTGGAATACCAAGCAGACTGGACTGTTAGCCATAAAACCTATCCACTCTAAATGCTTACCTATATTTTTACTATATTTAAAACTATTTACTGTATTTACTCTATGGCCAAATTTAATATTTTGAACATTACTGGGAAAAATTACATTTTAAACTGTGGAGTTTAGATATGTAGGCCTGCTAAAAACCTTGTGAGATTATTAGCAAAATGTCAGCCACCTGTGAGACAATTGAATGAATTTTTGATGTAGCTTTTTACACAAACATTACAGTACCTATAAAAATCCTTATGTTGTGTTGAATACTCTTTTTAAGGAATCCTTGCTATTTCTAAATACAAGAATATGGTATGCATATCATGAAAGTTCCCTACTACTGTGCCAGCAAAATTGTTTACTTTTAAAACAACTAGTGTCCCTGTTGTTCGAATTCGAGCAATTGCTAAGTACTACAGGCGTTATTTTAAGACGAATAAAAGTCATAATTTCTCCGACTCAAAGATTTTGGAAATACTCATGATGTACATAACAGATCGATATAATCACAAACTCTTGTAAAAAATCGGCTCTTTCAATGATTACCAAGAAATGCAGCACAGTGTTAATTCAGTTTTCTTTTTAGTATATCAATTTATCCAGGCTCTCTCGCTTTTTTCCATTGTAATATTTACGCCAACTCAAATTCAAACAGTAAACATTTCATTTCAACCAAGTCGGTAAAATTTTTATAGCAAACTGTTAAATTAGCAAACATATTGACTGTTTACAATTATCTTCTTCTTCTCACTTTTAATTTCTGACAACAGCTGGAGTTGCATAACAATTTTTGTTTCCCATGTTAATCTTATGGAGAAATATAAAACTTTAAAGGGGCCCCAGTGCCTCACTCTCTAATTATTTCCCCAAAAAGAAAGTTTCCTGCACAACTTCACGTTACGCTCTTTCCAATGAGACCAAAAACATGTCAATCGGTTCAGTAGTTTCAGAGGAGTAATTGTCACAAAAATCCTGCTTGCGTATTAAATAAGTATAGATATAGATTTGACAGTAATTTTTTGCCTGTGGCAATTTTTACGGAGTTAATTCAAACTTAAGGGAAAGCGGTTCAAACCCATTAAGTTTTGTGGATGTGCGGGGAATTAAACTCGTCCCTCCCGCACCGAAGTCCGAGACGCTAACGGCTAGGCTAGCAACACAGTCGTCTTTAAAATGTAATACCAGTGCTTGGAACTTGTAGAACTCTGAAAAACGTTGTGTGATATTTTTAACAAATAATAATATAATGATGAAATTTTAGCTCAGCTTCATTAATATCAGAAGATACCACAAATCACATATACCAGTATATAGTTCCTTTATCATTCATATTTGTTTTGTTGACATTTGCAAAAACCACAGTATGCAATATGAATGACCAGCAATAATTAGTTTATTGTGGCTGAGTCGGGTTTGCTGACAGAGGTATTCCCATGACAAAAACAAAAGCTGGTTTACATTATTTTATTTATGAAATGTCACCAATAAATTCACATTTGTAACGTCCTCTTGAAAAATCACATTGTTTTGTTTTATCAGGGAATTGATTGTGCTATAGTGGAATTTCATTGTTTATTAATACAAGCTCAAGCTTAGTCCTCTAGTTATTATTTTAAGAGTGCAAAATATAGTTATATTCCTTTGATCTTGCAGGCCTAGATATTAGTTACGAAAAATATCTCTTAAAATATACACCAACATTAGTTTTTTGTGTATGGTAATTAAATGCAATTTAAGTAATTTAACAATATTATTATTTGGGTAATTTCTTATGTCTGGACTTCGCTAATTTTACTGTCTAAGGTTACCATAATAGGCATTATAGGTATAATTTTGAACAATTTCGACCCATATATTTTAAAACGTATGAAACAATTTTAAGATTACCATAACAATACCAAATGTATAACATAAAATAGTGTGGTAAAAATAATGGAAAAGTGACTACTGACTGTGCTAGTTTTGGAATTTTAAATGAGTTAAAAAATGTTATATGTTTTTACTGAGAGTTGTTTTTTCATCTGGAAGTCTGTAAACTGAGTAAACTATAAAGTCTGGATGGAACATAGCTGTAAAACAGAGCCTGTGGCATGGCTCTATACAGTTTATTACCTGTTTGTTCTCATTCTAAATAATGTCATCTGGGAATTAGCACGTGGGAGGTTTTTAATTTATTTTCTATTCAGTTAACTAGCTGTACCCACGGGCTTTGCCCCTGTTAACTTCATAAGTATTCGCATGGCTCAATCACGTCCCGGTTGAGTTCGTTCGCTACGCTCACTCACCTTTAGGTTGGAGCTCGTTCGCTGCGCTCACTTGTTTTCAGGTTAGCTCGGTCGCTACGCTAACTCGCCTCCAGATTTATGTTCGTTCGCTACGCTCACTCACCTTTTGGTTGAAAATTAGCTGTTTTCATAAATCTTAAAAAGTCATCCCTTTTATTGTATATAATACTTTGATAAAGGTTTTTATGTTTTAATATTTAACATTGGAGAATTTAAACGTTGTTAAGTGCACAGGTGTGCTGCGATTGGGGTTTAATACATTTGGACTTATTCAAAAGTAAAATAGTTTTCTGTGCTGCACTCTGTAGAAACACTGTGGCACTATTTCAAATCATGACTAATGCTAATACAGAATGTTGTAATTATTCAAACGTACAAAACAGTTGGTGAAAGTAAACATCTGCTTTTAAATTATATTTATTTGTAAACATTGTAGATCAAAAAGTCTGACATTGACCCACTTAAAACCCTCTGGGGCAGAGCCCTTTTGACAGATCTGCACCAAACTTCACTCGAACCATCTTTGAAAGATGCTTAATAATGCCTGAAAGTTTCATTACAATCTGTCGAGCGGTTTCGGAGTCCATAACGTATATACATATATATATATATATATATATAACACACACATACATAGTTCCTCTTTTTTTATTAACCGACTTCCCCACTACCAACAAAAGGAGGAGGTTCTCAATTTGTATGTGGCGATGTTTTTTTTTTTTTCTATGTATGTTCACCAATTTCTCTGTGATTCTTTTACCGATCAGTGTGGTTCCAACACCAAAATAACCAGGAGAGTTTCTATTTGGTACCTTATATATTATGTTTAGGTATAATATTTGTTTCGGTGAAAAATTCTGAAAACCTTAAATATTCAACATTTATTTTGTTTACATTTGTGCAGATTGTTTACATTTGTCCAGAGAAGGCAATAAATAATAATAACATTCCTACAGCTGTTAGTTGAAACCATTTAAATTAAGCTACAGGCAATTCTTCATGAAACAGTTGCTTCATATTGATCAATAAACTATTTCTTGCCTTGGAGCCTTAATGAATTACATTGAGAAAAATGCATTTTGTTTTGGTTACTATAAAAAATGTATTTTAACGATTGTCCTGATTTGTGTATACAGTAATTCTTCTTTTAGTATTGAATATTCTGACTTACAAAAACATATATGTTTCAGTGAATATCTGTATGATATTGACAAATAAAGGTGTATTGTGGAAACCAAAGCATTCGTAAAACAGGTCTAAATATAAATTAAATTCAATTATTCCTTACACGACCTAAGAAGTGTTAAATATTTTAATTACTAAACATACATTTGCAGATGTGGAATGTTTATTGATATTCTCTACCCAGTTAGTATATCATATCAATACTATTATGCCTGCTTCGGAAAGTCCTAGAGGAAGATGATTTGCAATTTCGACTAGGCTATATCTTGAGCAAACAAAACCCCCTACATGACTTACACCACTTTTAGCTGAACCAATCTTTCATATAATATTTTCCAAAGGTACTATACGTGTTAACGACCAATTTTCCACTTTTGAGAGATTTTTTAGTGCTGGTGGCTGAGGAATAACTTTCATATTGTCCCAAAAGGCTTGAGACGTTACTGTATTTCTTTTTATAATGTAGAAGTACACCGATTGCAGGAAACGATGTCTGACATTTCAATGTATCTAGAAAAGACAATTAGTTTTTCATTAGGCCTAATGTAATGGAAAACTCTTTTA